CTGAAAGAGCAGTTAAGCATTTATACCTCTGCATAAACATTAAATTTAAGTTGTTTTGTCCTTTTGCAAAGCTAGCTGTACAGTCTCTCTGTCTAAAACAGCCGTTTAACAAAAATATTTATTTTTCCTAATTCTGCTCCAGTGTCAACCACGAGTAACAGACCTCATAACATGAGAAAAATAACTAAAGAGAAAAACACTCCCCATGCTAACTAACCTTCCTCTCACAGCCACACTTCACCAGCTGAGATCTAAACATAGCTACTTCAGATCAGTGCTGCTGAATATCATTTCAGCGTCTTTACACAGCCACTAAAACTAAGAATAAAGACATCACTGATCCTGTAACACCTCCTTTAGCTTGGGCATGCTTGTTTACCCCATGGATTACAGTGATAATAACAACAGGATGACAGTTACCTGTGTGTTACATCAAATGTGATTCAAAATGATAAAAATGAGACAGTAACATAACAAAAACATCAGTCTGCAGTTATTATGACACATTGGCAGCATCACACGCTAATATGAAGGAGCTAATATAATAAATAAAGATTATTAGGTTAATTAATTATGCATTTAGTCCTCTTTGTACCTATATAATTATGCTGCACACTTTTATCAAATCTGAGCAGCAGCCAGCAGAGGATAATTTGTTTTCACGTTACCAAATGGTTCCAGTGTTGCCAGGAAATGACATATGGTAGAAAAGCATAATTCATCTGGCTGAGACACTGATACCCAACCATCAAAAAAAGAAATTAATTCAGCTCTCTGGCTGCACAGACAGACAGCATTAAAGACAGAAATAAATAACAACAGCAAGAGATACACACACACCACACTCATGTGATATTGGAAACCAAACATCCAATAACTAGGCTGAATGTAGGGGAGCCTGCTTATCTGATACCAGCTGTGTGGGAGACTGTGTGGGTTTTTTGTGTGTCTGTATGTGCAACAGTGAATGGGATTTGATTGGGTGGGCGTATCAGTGTGTGTAGTATGTGAAGGCATTGCTTCGTTATGCATGCAAGAGCCACTATCAAACAGGAACATGACGAAAAACAGTTTGCATTTGCATCAATGTGTCCATAATTACAAAGTAGATTTCTTGGCGACCATCATGGATTGTTGACCATCTCTAAGCGCACACTGGAGAGCGTTCAAATGAGGATTATCTCCACCAGCACAGCACGGCACAGTTTAGCACTATGTCATTGATTAAGCCTGCCTATGGTACATGCCAACACACAACCCCCTTATTGAGTGTTTTCTTCTTTGTAATTACAAATGCACCCTCATGTGAAGACAAACATGTACACTATCTGAAAGGTAAAGAAACAGGAAATGATTTATTCGAAGTTTATACTGGTGGTTATTGCTGTTGTGATATATTTTTGGGTTATATATCAATGATAAGTGTATATTTTAGCATAGAGGGAATAGAATGCTTTAACACCAACACTCATGACCCACTTTATATTTTAAGCCTTATTTGTTGATTTTTTTAAACAGTTCTCAGAGTTAAAGGACAATGGTTATTTAACCGTTACAGTAGTCCAAAAAGGGTCAAAGCTGGAAGTGTCTGAGATAACTTTAAACTATACAAAGATAAATTTACAATTTGACATACTGAAGCCAGAGGCAACTTTATTCAAATTACCAGTTTCAAGAAACCATTTCAAAAGCCTATCAATATGCAGACCGAATTCAGAATGCATTATGTTTATAGCAAGTAAACAGGTTTATTCATCTGCTGTGGTTTGATTGAAAAAAATCAAGGATTATGGTGTAAATATAAGCATATCTGTTTAACCACACTGGAGGAGATTCTGTTACAGCCTTGAATGCACCAATGTGGGCATTAAAATATCTGTTTAAAAAAGTCTTAAGGATGATATTTGAGGCACAACAGATAGGAGGCACAGAGAACACAAAGTTGATATTAGCATACTTGTTAAAGTTTAATGACAATAAAAAATATCATTTGCCAAGTACTTATATTACTGCACAAATAAACTGTCATTGAAGAGAAATTTACAGAGTAGATGGTATATTTAATCAAGTGATCTACTCAAAACAAGCTTGCTTTACACTCTTTAGACCTTGAGATTTCCTGCTAAATAATATTGATAATAACTTTATTTATGTAGCATTTTTAAAAGCAGGGGTTGACAAAGTGCTCTGACAGAAAAGTTAGTTATGCATCGTAACAAACTGAACTGGTTAACTCTGAATATGAGGAAATCACAGTGGATTAAGCAATGGTTGTAATGTAACAGCCGTGGATGTTCATTTTGACAGCATATACCATAGGGTTAAAAAGGGATGTCATATTTCAAAGCAGAGGTTTAATCGTAGAGAAAGAGAAGTTGGCATTTGCAGACAAACATGACATAACAGCAAAGCTTTGCTTTTGTACTCTCCTGGCATTGGCATTGATTTTCATGTTTATATTCTGACCTCCTCTTCAAACTCTGGAGAGATGAACGTGACAGCTGAATGAAAAGACTGTTTTTGTGTTCTTACAGCTCAGCCAAGATGGTAGTAAGCATTAAATCTACCATTTCTCAATTTATTCATCTCTTTATTTGTTCAATTCTGCTGTCTGACAATTCCAGTTATTGTCAGCTCTTGCTAGAAACTCAAAGTATCAGTGGTTATAATAGTAAACCTTTTTTTTCCTCAGACATTTTTACATGTAAAAGCAGGAAAAGCACAGGTGTGAATAATGTGATTAATTTTGACTGGGTGTCATTCAGTGTGGATGTGTTATGAAGGTGTTAGTATTGTACATGCTGTCTCTCTGATATGGCTTCCTGTGATGCTTTAATGTATCACTGCCATTCATGCTCTGCCTTTTCTCATATGCCTCATCAAACTGAATGCAGTGAAAACAGCTTTGCAGATGCAGGTTTGTTTTTCACTTCAATGACCAATAAATCACTTCCCTATTTTCTGATATAGTGCATTATGGTGTACAGCTGTGGATTGTTTGCATCATAACATAATCAGGGAAAGTTTCGTGTGAGTGAATTTCCTACAGAAAGCATAATTCTCTTTCTTGATAAATACGTATTTTCTCTTTCTGTGATAAAATAGCCAAACTGTACAACTCTTTCGATTATTTATTATTTCCATTCTAATGACCCAACTCAGGAGGTCACAATAAAGAGGGCAGGACATCCTTTACATTGAAAATGTGACAGCTATTTTGAGTTGATGGTCAACATATCATATTTATCCTACATGTATAAAATGTATGTAGACCCAGACAAAAAAGTACCACAGAGAGGCATTAAATATCACCTTTTATTTGAAGATTTGTTCCAGTTTTCAGGTTGTCAAAGTCAGTCTGAGTCCAGAAAATCATAAACCAAATCTTAAAGGGCTTTGAAAAGGTCAAATTAAAGACATCTGTGGGTCTGAACGGTTATTAGTTTGCTTTGAGGTGAATATGCACAACTTTGACTTTGCTTTCTCCAGTTACAATGACAGCAAGAAATGACTCCAGTTCCTGACAGCAGGGAAACAAAAGATTTAACATTTGTAGTAGGTTTTGTGCTTTTGTGCGAGCTGTCCTTTATAAATATTGACTCTGCAAGATACAGCAAAAGAAATAGCTCTGATTTTTTGATTGAAACTTCAATTGAGCGTAGGTTCAATTGAAGTTTCCATCAAGTCGGTGTATCACTAACATGGCTATAGACCACTTTTACAGGTTTGCAGCAGCTGATGCTTAAGCCACTTAATGAAAGTTCTACCAGAAAGAGAAAAGGTACTTATGGCACAAAAACACGAGAATGCCGCATTTGGAAAATCTTCTTGAGGCTGAAGTTTGATTTCAGTTTTGACATACTTTACCACTTTCTTACACAGTTTTTTAACGGTTCATTTGTATTGTTATACAGAGTTCCGGATATGTCAGAATATACAATAAGTGTTTCACTCTGACTCTTATTTTTCATGTAAATTTTGATTAAGGAGCTAGAGTATGCTTTGCTGAAAAAACAAACAATTGCACAGCATTGCTTTCATGTTAATACGCTTGCAAGCTAACATCCATGCTGACTGCAATCTGAACGTATAACTTGCACAATCCCACTTCAAAGACTCTGTTTTGTCATAGCCGATCCCACCAAACATTGGACGTCGAAGAGACGTGCAGATCAAGTCAGTGTTGGGTGGGTCCGTCAAAGACCACATCTAGACGTCAGTGCAACGTGCAAAATAGGTTAGCCATTTCAACATCCAAATTGGACTTTTTTTAGACGTCGCTCTGACGTTTAGAATTTGGATGTCATCTGAAGACCAAATCTAGACGTCGGCACAACATGCAAAATGGATCCAAGATTTAGACTTCATTATTGGACCTCTTTTAGACGTTGAAATGACGTCCACATTTGTACGTCATCGTCGGAAAAATACGTTAAATAGATGTCATTTCAACGTCGCATTGCGCAGTGGGTTGGTACACTTAACCCCAGTATAAAAAGGCCAATCGGAAGAGACAAAAGTGAGACTAAATGAGATGTGAATATGAATGAGAGGGAATGGTCAAGTTGATTGGTGCTTTTCTACAAAGCAGATAGTATTCAGGTAGCATTAGCCTTAGCATTTAGCTTGGCAGTGAGAGGGATAAATAGAAGATTTTTTTGTTGTAAGCAGGCTACCCTTACGTTATACAAGGCCACCTGTGTAATATATTGTAAAGGCATCCTGAAAAGCACATCACAGTATTCAGTGTATGAGCTTTCAGAGGGCATGCTGTCACTCTCTCTGGTGACCCAATCACACTGAACGTGGCTCTGTGGGGGGAAAAAACCAACGACACAGGAAAAAGACATGTATCTTTGTTAAAATAATGAAACACCGCTTAAGAAACGACTCCTGTGATTGTAATTAATGATCATATGCCAACTTGTCACATGGACTTAAATGCAGTGTTTTCATGGGAGTGGCTTACTGTGTTAGGGGAGTGGCTGTCTTGTTCGCACATTTCTCCTTGTTCATCACTACGACAGGCAGAGCCGAAGGCAGGACTCGTATCCTCTGTGTACTACATCATATTCACTAATTGCTCCATCTGTGGGCTGTTGATTTGCTTGTTTTACAAACCCACCAATAGCTGCACCATTTAGCAGATGGGCGCGTGCGGCCAGCAGCAGCAGCAGCAGCAGCAGCTAGCTCACTTCTAGCCGCTCCTACTTCACTGACTAGTTTTCTAAGTTGGAGAAATAAACTTCAGAGACACACAAGCGGAGGATAAGGACACTTTTTCTGAGTGTTGTCTCTACATACGGACCTCTCAGCTGGTTATCACCTTATTTCAGGTTAAATTTGTCGTTTTCCTGCATGTAAAAGGGGGAGGAAAAGGAGGTGGACCCACGCTCAGCCGCCGGTCTCGTGGCTTCTTTGTATACAGCAGCAGCAGCAGCAGCTGTGTGTAAATGCATGGGCACACAGCGTCTACCGCTCCTTCAGGGACACTTTATCCGTCTCACTCCGTTCTTCCTTTGGGCTCCCTTTGAAATGAAGCGACTGAACCAGGTGTAGAAGAGGATTATATAACTTTATCTGAACCTTTTTTTATTTACCCCACTGTCTCCTTTACCCCGCCAAAGCTCGGGTCAGTTTCACCGCCTCTCTTTCTCCGTGCCTCTCTCTCTGTGTGTGCGCTTGGATTGTAAACGGCAGAAACAAATTGGTCTCCGTGCAGAGCAGGCTACAGCTACAGCTGCGCGGCTCCCTCACTCACACACCATGGATGTAAGGTTTTATCCGTCTGCTGGGGGAAATTCTATCCCGGGAGATCCACCAAACCTGGATTTTGCCCACTGTTTGGGCTACTACAACTTCAATAAGGTGAGAAACCACACACTATCATGATTTAGTGTTGTATTGGCACATTAGTGCTCCAAAGATCTCTGATTTAATGCCTGAAAATCGGTGTAAAACTAAGTTGAATTTACACTGAATGTTTAATATTATTCAGAGTTGCTGCCACGTGTTTCTCGCAGAGTTCAGCCACTAATTATTTAACCCTTTGGTGGCTTTAATTAAGCTCTGCTGCCACAAACTTTGTTGTTGTTGTGTGTTAGTTGTGGAAATGAAAGAGCAGGACAAGTGTAGTGGCTCAACGGCACTTCAGTCCAGCTCAGACCAGCGTGATTGCACTGCCAAACTCTGACCAGACTGAGTGATGTGATCCACGGTCTTCGGCTCTGTTAGACTACAGTTTCAAAACCTCTATATCATAGCATTAATGTGATGATAGCAAGACACAGGGTATCAGGTGTGCTGGATTGAGATCCTGTTTTATGAATCTTTATAGAATGAGATGTTGAGGAAACACATCCAGACTTGTCATGTGTCTAACAAAGAAAGTATTACTCATTACAACTTTATTCAGTGTTTAATCAGCTGTTGACTCGTCTGATTAATCATTTTCAGTCATTCTCCTTTTCATGTAAACAGTAGAACAGGCAAACTACAAGACAGATCGTCTTTTTTCCCCCTCATAAGTCATCTTTGCATTGTTGGGCTCTGAAACATAGTATTACTGAAGACTGTCAAACCAATCTAATTTTATCTACTCTGTCCCAGCATAACTAACATTCATTCTGAGCTGTTCACAAGTTTTTTTATTCGTTCCCCTCCATCTGTTTACAAGCAAGCCCCGTTTCCAACAACATTGCTAAGGTCTGACAGGTTTATTAACTCTCAAACAAGAGGCAGGGGTTATGTAAAACACAGATGATAGTTTATGATACTGTCAATGATGTAACACCTGAACAATTTGAACCCATTATCCGTCAGGAGCTCAACTTCCTCATCCTCAGAAAGAGGGAACATCGCCATGACAGACTAATGACAAAACAGCAGAGTGGTGTTTTTATAAAGTTTAAACAATGGTAACCCCTTCATCCCTCACCCCTCCTCTCATGCACTCACTCACACACACACCAACCCCCCTCCCAAATTATTCAGCCCTATAGTTGAGCTTTGTTTGCCCCTCACAATCTGATTCTGCTCCAAACAGTTACTAGGTTTTGTCTCACTGTTTCATCAGCTCTTTGTCATGTGGCCAAGTTGTCATGTGTGCCCAATTTCATCATGTCTTCATCAGCCTTGAGAAATTTTAACTACATTGCTTTGAATTGGTGTAAGAGTTGAAGCGAGATTTTATTCCCGCTCATAAATTCCCCAGGTCAGTTGAAATGTTCCATCTGTAACAGTAATTGGCTACAATGCAAGAGAAGGTACAGCGAGAGGGAGGGTACTGAGAAGGTGCTTATCCAGTATCTCTACCAGTAATGTGGGAGAGAAGGAGGGAGAGTACAAAGCATGCATTTCATGCTAATTACAATGCTTTTCCATGGTGAACAAATGGGCTTTATTCATGCATCTTTCAAATGAGCCTCCAATTTATTTGAATCAACCCGTTGAAAGGTAGCACAATGCAGAGCAGTTTGTCATCGCAGAGATGTGGCGTGCTCGCGAGTCACACAGAACTGAAGCTTTCCTTCTTTAATCTATTTTAAGCTGTCACAGCAAAACTTTGACTGGAGTCACAGTTCTGATTTGAAAACAGGCAATACCCTCTGAAAACGCTGGCACAGGAAATGTTCAATTTTAATGACAACAGAGACAGAATGGCCCAGAGGCACTTTGACACATCAGAGATTCTTTTAAATTTACAGAAAAACGCAAACGAGTGGCACAAACTTAATTAGGTGCTACAGTCATGACTAATGAAGCTGCCTGTTTTTTTGGCACAGAGATGAAGGAGGGACAGCGGTGCTGAAGAGAAACATGCCACAACTTCACACAGCTGAATTATGCCCGTAACATAAATTCACCAAGAAAAATCACCTTCAGTAATGTGGTAAAATTAAACACTGTACCTTCATGTAAACGGGCCTTAAAGCTAATGTAAATGGATTTGTCTCTGTGAGTTTTAAACATTAAATGTAGAGTGTGGGGGTGGAGGAGAGGGCTGTCACAGCAGGGTCTGTTCCTCTTAAACTGCCTTGACTTAAGGTTCAACACGGATCAGCCGTGCTCAGGGGCAAACCTGCTGAGGACTCTGCTTTAACTGATTGGTTGTTGCTTCAAGTTGCGTTGTGTTCGGTTTATCTCTGAGAGGCTCTTTGGTCAGAGTTAAAAACACCTGGCGTCAGTCAGGTAATCAAAGTTTAAAAGAACTTCTTTGATTTCATATGCTTACTTCTTATGCATCTTAATGTCATGTGTCCAATTTCATATTCTGATAAGTGCTGTGATGCAAAGCTGTTGAAATGATGTGGTTAGCTCCTCTTTCATGCACATTTTCAAACACAGAGACAGGGAGCTGTTTGTATCTGACTGGTTTTGGTATTTTTAAAACCTGTCCGACTTTAATGGTTTCAAGAAAGGGACTAAGTGTTTCTCCAATATTTATGGCCATCTGGTCTGCTTTTTCTCAACTTTTAATAATGTTTCAGATACAAAATCCATTTAGTGTAGACTTTCATTACCTCCAGGCACAGAGAGAGTAAAATTACCAACAGATGTTAATACAAACTCTTCACCTGGGCTGGTATCAATTGCATGAGTTTGTTAAACTAAGACAGCACAACCGAGACAACATCAGTTTTTGTAGTTTGGAGTTACTCCACATCAGAGTATTGTAAATGCATTATTGAAGAAGAGCATAGACAAGAAGACAAACAAACGAATTCACAGCACACATGCCACAAAGTTAGGGGAAGTACATACCCTTAAGATAGACCTTTAGTGAATAATTCCATTAAAGACAACTCATTCTATTTGTTTATCTTGATGGTTAGCTTCTTAGTTAATTATTTACTTTTTCTCTACAGCCATTTACTGTTCTTACATTAAAGGTACAGTCAGGGGTAGAAATGGAATATAGCTTTCATTAGTATGTTTCAATGAGTGTCAAATCACCTGAATATAAAAAGCCTTTAAATATCTTCATAAAAAGCTGGTTTCCTTTGATTACCATGTTTCTACAGTAACACATAGTAGAAAATTAAATAACAGACATGTAATTAATGAGCGGCCGCGCTAAATAAACCAGTCAGATGAAGGGCAAAACAGTGTTTATGGCCAAAGGATTTGTTTATAATCTGATCGCTAGGTGTCTTTAAATATTCTTACACTGTACCTTTAAGTTCCAACATGTGAAGATAGTGGTTTCTTTCAGGCTACACTGTGAACACATCATCAAACAAACCAGCCTCACTGCCCTGCACTGCCCGCACCATGGTTAGCTGCTAAAAAAATCACTGCTCATGTTGTGTTTGGTTTATTAAACCACACTTCTATTACCATGGTGATGACTTTGTATCCAAATAAATCCAGACTATATTGCAAGACAACTCTTTGATAGTATCGATTCTCTGTGAATCAGGAAGTTGTGTCGTCTGTACGAGTAGACATGCTGATTAAGGACTGTATCTGGAATCACCAGAGGATCCATTGAGCCTGCAAATGTGGTGTAGGAGAAATACAGGCCTGTGTTCATGCTTCATTTGGGCCTCACTGACCCATCTATATGTAAGGAAACTAAAAGCAATAACAGTTTAAAAAGCTTAGCAGAGGGCTTTTGTGAATTACTGCTCTCCTTCAACAACAAACCCCTGGGCAATAACCTCTTACTGTGTCCAAACCAAAGAGAGCCAAGCCTCCTTTTGTCTCTGCTGTGCTGGGAAAGGGTTAACACTCAGCTCAACCAGGGGGCCTAGTGCATCTCTCCAGTGTACACAGCTGGTGCCATTTCATCACACACATTCTAAACATATCCAAACACAGCTTTAAATGTGTGTGTGTGTGAGTGCACTGATGCTGTGTGTGTGTGTGTTGGGGGTTGGGAGGTAACCTCAGAGGCTTTGTCAAACTCTGCAGTTGATGGATCAGACTTCAAGGTGCATGTTAAATGTTTAAATGTCCGAGAAGTGAATAGCTGATGATTTTTGTGGAGTCTTTTAATTGTAGCTTGTCAGGAAATGTAGTTCAACAGATTTATTAAACACCTAATTTTCCCACTGAGATTACAGAGTGTTATTTTTAGTCCTCCTGCTGAAAGACAAACTGTACTTTAGCTTCCTGCCTCTAAGAACGACTGCTCTATGTGACAGACTGCTCTGCACATACAGTATGTGTCTGTTGTTAACATTATGTTAATGCACAGCTCTCAGTTAATGCTGCATGTCCTAAACATATCTCTGCCAAACAAAGCTGTTGGTTGTTGCTGTAATCCTGTACTGATGGTTTGTAGAGACATCTCAGCAGGAACTCAATAAATGTTCTTGAGAACAGCTTTTTAAGAAGGCGAGACCTTAGCATTAGCTTGGATAAAGCTATCAGCCTGATGCTTTATGATTTCTGTTGCTGCGCATTATCACAGCTGTCACTCTCTTCATTTTGTTGATCTCGTCGAGATGTTGACATATGATGCTTCGCAGGCGCGCACACGCCAGCGAAATCACTTTCAATTTCCCTTCATTTTCGACATGTTTTACAAGTTTAATCTGATGATTTGAGCCAACAATCAAAACCTGTGGGAAATACAAGAACCAGGTTTTGTTTACAGGGTGGTTATGAGAGCGGCTTTGAAATCGTAGACAGGCATAGACCATTACCCAGATCAGCACTCATAAAGACCTTCTGCAACGCTGCCATCACTGCTCATAAATCCACTTCATTATGTCTCTGTGTGTATTACTCAGCAGACCTCGCACTGCTAAGTTGTTCCTCAGTCACACTGGCACAATGTGTCCCTCTGACATGGTGGCAGGCATCCACTGTGAAGAGTTTAAGAAAAAAATGATCCAATGAAGACTCAACCAAGTAGAAATGCTGAAAAGTCTTCACACATTTAGCCCAACTGTGTGTTATTTTATGTTTTTCCCTTTTAGGATTGAAACCCACAGCGTTTGTCTCCACCGATCTAAAACAACATGGACTGTTTGTAGCTACATGCTTCTTTCAGAGCATCCCTTTCATTGGTACATGAAAGACATGAATCCACAGGAGGGCCACATTTTTTACGAGATTTTGATCATGTACACAACATCACTATATCATAGCTCAAACCGTTGGTGCCGGAGGAAAAACGGTTTATTTTGGCATTCAAAGTAATGAAAGAAGGGAAAGAGAGTTTTTTTAGTTGTAGTTTTTGTTGTCTTGTAAATCGAACTTTTTTTTTCATAAAGCCTTTAAAGCCAATGTTCAGGCTAAAGAGTTTGAGGATTTGATCAATTTGAGATCAGGCTGAAATACCACTTGACTCTGGGACTAGGCGCTCTCTAGTAAGCCAAGTTTTTATGTTTTATGTTGTCACTGAAAAGAAAAATGATAAGTGTGATTTGTTTATCTTGTGATATCAAAGTTAGACATAACAGTTCAAAGGTGCAAAAAAGGGTGTCTGTGATTTCAGTGAGTACTGTTCCTTTGAATCAAAGCAGCTCCACTGAAAGAGAAGCTTTCCCACTATGATAAACTGTTCTAATCTGGGTTTGGTTCACGACGTCTTTGACAGCTCTGACCTTACTGACTTATTAAAAGGAGGAGGAAAAACTCACCATGCCCCAGAAAAAAAAAATGCTTTTACTCTGAATTAAGCAGTTTTCAAAAGGACCAGTCAATCACTTCTGGTTGGCTGATTCAATAACTGTTGTGTCCCTTTTGTGGTTAGCCTCGATGTTAAGACACATTCATTTTTTAAAGCTTTCCAGAGAGGCAGCCAGGCCGTGTTTCATAGATCTAATGTCCAATTCTCTTAATGGGCTCACAGACTGTATCAAAACATTCAGCTGGTTTTCTTTTAACTTCACTTGCTTGACTTAAGCTCTTTTCCTAAGCTCTTTTCAAGGAGCACAGGCCGATGATGAATGACTTCAGCTCACATAGTTATGGATAATATTTTCGAGGCTGGTCCTTTTGAATTTATTGCCGCTATCTCCATGGTAAACTAATTTCCAGCAGCTTTTTTTCTGATGTGGAAAAATACAGGACATCGGTTTAGAAATTTGAATATTGGCTCTGTAACATAAATATGAGTGTCGACAGTAAGTGCTGTCTTATTTTATTTACCCTTATTTACCTGCAAGGGTTTTAAAGCAGTGACCAAATGACTCAAGCCGTCCACTCACAGAAGTATTAGTCACTCTCTCAACCATTGTTCCTGTGTCAGGCTGGCTGTGGATTTGTTTTCTCATTAGAGGTGTTCAGGCTGCAGGTGTGTGTGTGTAGTATTACATCTTACACAGTGTGATTAACCCAGCCTTTTTTTTTTTTCTCCATCCCCCTCCCTCGGCACCACACATACCCATAATGCACTGTGTTACCAGGCTGCACTAAAAGGACTGACAATAGTAGCAGGTGTGCAAATATACCTCAGACCTGTCGAGCAAAGAGTGTAAACAATGCAGGGAAATAAAAGTTTTATTTGAATGCTGGAATAGAGAGCCTGTCAGGGTGAACTGGCACAGGGTTCAAGAAAGACTAGCTTTGAAAACAATCTGTTTACTGCACCAAAAAGCATCTCTGATGAAGATTACTTGATGCTTTTGCTGCTCGCTGTAAAATAAGTGTCATGCTTTATGATAACCCAAGTATATGAGCCTACTTCACCCTCTCTGAATGAGCGTGAATACTTTCGTGGAATTAGAAAACTGCCATCATATCCTGCCCCTGCCTTTGCATACAGAGCATTAATATATATATTTTTTTTCTTCTGAAAAATCTATTTATAATTTGATTAAATTGCTTGTATATCTCCATACATTGCACTGATTGTGGATTATGTAGCTGAAACTCGATGAATGAAACAGCTGCTCTCTGGTGGATGTGTTTGCTCTGTCTACCCCATGTTTGATTTATCAGAACCGAGTTTGTATTTAATGCGGAGGGTTCATGTTAAAACCAACAATTATTCTTTACTCAATGCTGGCACTAATATTTTCTATAATTACTACCATCTGTATCTTTTCAGCATAAAGAACTTGTGTACTCATGCAGACTATGGAAACCTGATCAAAAGCCTCGATGCACTGACCTTTTTTTAAATAATGATCTAAGATTGTTAACATCTGCCAACTCTCAACCAAGGGCTTTGAGTTTGCTTAACAAAACCATAAAGATATTAATCATGCTTCAGTTGCCAGGACCTTGTACTGTAGGGAATACATATCAAAGATACTCCACAGGGAGCACAATGTTTCAGAAAACACGATCAGCTTATTACATCACTCTAACATCATTTTTTGGCTTCAATTGTCCAACAGTGTTCTTCATTAGAAAGGGCAGTGCTTCCCAACATGTAGCTGAAATATAACTGCTTTGAGGATCCCTAATGTCAGATTTCTTGCTTTTGGAAATCATGCAGTATTCATGAGGATATCTCGTTTTTATTCACTAACATGATCAAAAGGCACAATGGACGTGGCCTCAGTAAAGCCTCCGGCCACATAATGTAGATCCTTGCCCTAAAACCTCAACTGGAATCATGAATGAACTCCATGAAATTCTTGAGTGGACTTCTGATATTTTGGGGAGTTGAAGTCCAGGCTCATTCACAGCACGTCCTTGTTTATTGTTATATGTGTGTGTTTCTGCTGGCTCTAGAACTCTCACATGCGGTTAAAGTGTGGTATGGCAGAAGTAGAAACAAGCTCAAGGTCTGAGAGGCCTCAGCATTGGCAGGGTTTTGCCTCCCTGCGCTGCCACTGATGATTCTTTCAAATGACAGTCATTGCACAGAAACAGATCTAGTCCCTCACATTTGGAGATTGTGACTCACAGAATAAGAGTTCAAATACCTGCACAGCCTTGGGAAATGGACGGCTCTTTTTCATTGAAATAGTCTCCGCTACATGTGTGCCTCTCCTGCTGATAAACAAGAAGAGGAGCTCAATGATTACACTGTTTCAAAGGCATTACAGGCAGCTGATTAAAGTGTTAGCTTGGAGTTAGCCAAGGTTAACCGTCCATAATGAAACACTTTGAAAATAATGATACGCTGCATGGTTTTATGAGGGCTTGTGGCTGCTCCGCTCAGCAGTGGTGACCTTCAGCAGTTCCACGAGCTAACTGTAGCAATCCTCAGCACCCCTGTGGTTTCCAGACTCCTTCAGCTTTTGATATGCATGTAGGACAGTAGACTCGGTGCAAGGTCTCAGTTTGCAACCGTCATGAGTCACTGGTGTGACTGACCATCTTCACTTTCAACTTTCACCATGAGATTATGTTTTCTGCTCTCGCTTTTATTTGTGGGAGTTTAGCACAACAGGCGTGGATGAAGTTGTCAGTCAAAAGTCATTTGCATCATGGTTTACCTTGTAATCCATCAAACACATAAATGAATAAAGAGTGAGAGAGGCTTCAGCTCAGAGAAAAGTACCATGACATAATCAGCATCTAAGTGCTTTTGTAACCATAGTGCATAAAATGAGATTGTATCTGTCATCTGTTGATGCAGGGCAGGCCGCTTGTTATTTAAAACAGCTGCACAGGGTACACCTGGGTAGCCTGGATTACTCTCTTGCCAGCACTTAAAAGTTTCGGATCAGAATCTGGCTGCAATCAATGTTACAGTTTCTGCACAAGTAATACCACAAGAAAAACAATATGAATGTATTTAGCTGACAAGAATAATGCTTTTAGGATGTTGATGTGAACACTTCCTGAAATATGCTGCATGTGCATCCATCTTGATGTGGCTGACCTCTTAACTTTCAAAGAATCTCTTTTTCATCTTTTTGTGACTATGAAGCCACAATTCTTGGCCTGTTTCACAGATATAAAATCATATTTAATCCATATGTAGAAAAACTAAAAGGGTGTGTAGTCACATGGATAATTGGCAAATATGTATTCAGTGATAATACCGTGGTGGGTTGGAATATCAGCAAATGCATGAACAGATTTATTGTGCTGTCGGTGTAAAAACAAACAGAGGTAAATACATTTCAGATCTGGACAACTGAGCAGTCAATCGTTGCTTAATTACCTGAACAAATATCAATATGAACATAGTTGCTTGTTTATGTGACAGGAGAATTATTTGTTAAGATACAGCACTACATTCAGCGCCACTATTGACTGATATTGATATTTTCAGAGGAATATTCTCCGAACAGGAGCTAATTAACAAATAAGAATAATTACCTAGCTCTTTCATTCATCAGCACAGTCTCTCATAACAGGCAAGCTTCAAGCAGCAACAACAAAGTAGTACATAAATCAAAGTAGTTTCCTTTGCCAAGCCAGAACCCCCTGGGAGGCACCTTGGTGCTTAATTAAAATCCAGAAGGATCATGTTTTAAGTGTAGGTGAGCGAGCACTGAATAACAATGACAAATCATGCCCCGGAGCTTTAGTGGTGTGTTTTGGAAAAGAAAAACAGCATCTCCCTTTCTTCTGTTTTCAATATAAATGAGATTTAATGTGGAAAAGGGGCTGTTCTCAGTGTATCATGGCACAGGCTCTGTGGTAAATCTAGCCCTGCAGAATGTGCCAAAACCAGCATTGATATATTAATCTCATAATTACCCATACAGGATTATAAGGAAGCAGCTCATTATTAGACAAGATTTGATGGCTTACCCCCTTTAGTACACTGTTTAACATCCTTTTTAAGCCTTACAGTATTTTACATATGTGTGCCAGGTTACGATTGTCAGGATGTCACTGGTCTTATCTTACATACATTTATTTATGATGAGTGGCAAAGGTCTATTTGCAATGTAAGGAAATTGTAGTCGTCATATTAAAGAAATATGAAGTGAAATATTTACTCAGATATGTAAATAATCTTATTTCTAGATAACAAGTAATAGTAAATGATGTATGTGATTCATGAGTAATGTCAGTCGAAAAAAAACTTTACATGCCCTGGATATTGTCTGACTTAATGCTGGTGGCCATACCAGACCAGTCAAGCATGTGCAGCACATACAAATTTCTCCATGGGGATATTAAAGTGCATCATATTGTATTGTATCGTGTATCGTAAGATCTTGTAGGGCCAGTAAAATATAGATGAGGTATTGTGGTTGCCATGGTTGGTAAAAAACCTCCTCCAAACAAAAATCCTTTCATCAGAGAGATTTAAAATTCAACAGAAGAGATGATTTGCTTAACTAGTAGTGGTGCACAGATTCACATGAATATTCCTGTTGTAGTCAGATCTGGAGATCTGTCTGCTCTGCACTGACTAGGTAAACTCACACAGACAGGTCCCTCAGCTCTAGCCAGAGATACTTCACTAAATCATGAGCTGAAACATGAAGTGGATCACATTTTTAGGGACAGATACTGGAGTATAAACTGTCCTACATATTTCCACTTTTTGCAAACGTCATAACTCTTGAGTGCACAAGCTCTTAGGAAGAGAGGCTAAAAAAAGAAAAGTGCATTAAAATGGGAATGTGTGTAGTTATCAGCAGAAAAAAAAAATCTCTCCCAAGTCAAATCTGCTCAATTACAGAGCTCTGGAGAGCTATCCCCAAGCAACCCTTCCTTTGGCTAATCAGTCACAGCAAATTGCAGTGGTGAATATTTCAGACTCTGCAGATCTGAATAAAGACATCATGATTATTTCACTGTTGTACAGTTACCCTCAGATAATTTCAGGAGCCTTCAGCTGGAGCCAGCGCAAACTGTAAAGCTCCTGTTTTACCAAGGAGAGGAACGTGGAGGGAGGAAGGCAAACACAAGCGCTGTCAGTCAATGTGGCGAGCTAATTGGGTCGATCTCTTTAGTGAAGATGAATGAAGAGATTAACTCTCCCTATGTGTCCAGTGAATCTCCCCCTCTGGCTGCAGGTAAATTAGCCGATGACAAGCTGACAGTGGGAATTCTGCCTCTCACTCTGAATTACTGCTGCAGTCAGGATTTCCAGCATAGCGCCCCCTATTGAAATAGCGCATGTGTCATGGTATGCTATGTTTACATAATGATTAACTGAATTGATAACAATTATCTATCAGAGCTTGTTAATTGAATGCACCTGGCCAAGTCAAACATTCTCCATGTGTTAAAGCTCCAAATAATTTGACAGTAGAAGTTGTAATCATGTCTTTTTGCACCCCTGAATATCAAAAACATAAGACCAGGACTTTTTACTTTATGATGATCCTTGCTGACTGTATAACACAGCAGAGATTAGAGTTACCAGTCAAACATACACCTAATAAAGACGGATCGAGAGTGGTGAGAGAACATGTGTAGAGGAGAGGTGTGAGCACAGAGGAGACTGTGCCCTGCTCTCATTTATTTTGGTGGAGAAACTCACAGCATGATCCTTAAATAGAGGTCAAGGCTCAAATACAGAAAATGTCAATGACCCCTTTTTTTTCATCCGCCTGTACTGGAGAAACGGGATAAAAGTGCTTGAAGGAGCTGTGGTCAGAGAGGGAAATCAATACGGCTATAAAGAGGGTTGTACAAATACAACATGTAAGATTCTTTTTGACTTTATAAAGTGCGACTTTTATTTACTTGTACTCTTTCATGTGCAGTTATGTTGGAGCAGGATTTTAAGACTACATCTATTGATCAATGAGGCAAAACCTTGTATTTGTGTTGACTGCTTTGGTTTATAACCACGTGTTTTAGCTGCATGTGGGTCTATAATGCAGTAATGCAAGTGAATCACACTAGTTTGCCTAAAAGGACCAATAGGGAAATTCAGTATGGTTAAAATAGACCTAAAACATTTTATGGGTCACATGTCATCAACAGAAGAGTTTTGCACTCAGTCTTCTTTTGTTACTTACCTTGTTGTGTTAAAAAAGCGCTGCTTTAATACACAGAAGACCCCCAGGACTTCATGTGCTTTTGATCATCAACCTGTCATTTTACACAGACGGAATAATTTGTGCGTGCTGACTAAAAGATATGTAGTGTGTCTTTGTTCTGCATCTCTTGAAATGTCAGAGCAATGATATGGAATCAAAGTTGAAGCTGAGTGTTTGTAATTATTCAAAGCTGGCATCTTAATCTCACGATGCTTTAGAAGTAAAAAAATGTTAAAGTGACATTTTGAGTTTAAATACTGCTAAAAACATTAGTGAAGCACTTAGCCTGATGGTTGCTGTCACGAGAAAAACAATGTCTCGACTCAGCTGCCGACAGGTTTGCTAATGATGTCCTGGTGTGCTGTCAATCCACCAGACGAACAGACAATAGTATGCCAAGGAGAAAATGCTTGAAATAGCTAATTGCTTCAAAGAGCTGCTCAACCCTTCTGCAACTATGAACATGTTCACAGATGTCTTTTCCAGCTGCTGTTTCATTACACAGCTCAAACACGGTACAGATGCAGAATATTGGCTTTCTTTATGGGCCTTTGTTGTTGCACGTCTAGTCAAAATGATTATAGATACATTATTGCAACCACAGGAGGAGTGAGAAAATGGCACGTGCCAGTGTGAACATTTTCATTATTTTACCTAATATGCCTGAGCTGTTCCCTTAATCTCTGCCAACTTGTTGATCGTCATTTTGGAGACACATTTCTGGAGAGCAGCCGGAGAGTATTTGCAGCCGGACCTCTGTCAGTAGCGCCAAGCAACACAGCCACAAATTGGAATGTGGTACAGCTCTGGGAAAGCAGCCAAGATTTAAATTAGACAATAACCTCTGCTCTCTCTATATTGCCTCTCTTTTCCAGCTGCAGGCCTAGCCATTTGTTTAATACAGTCAACCCTGTAGTATATAATAGACTGATATATGAGTCACCGCTCAGCAGTTTGTGTTTTTCAGATTTATAGAGATTGAACAAGCACTGAGTCTGTGCTTAGCGTGGGCTTATGGTTAGAATAACAGAAAATACACAGGTTGAACACTAACTTTGATTCTTTCCAGAGGTTTTAAAATATGTCACTGAACTCAATACGTTTGATTAGCAAGTTAATAGGAGAGAAAATGAAACTTTGACCAGACCTGAAAGCAGCTCTACACATTCATTTCTACAGGGGAAAATGTATTTGTTTCTAACAGTTTAGAGGAGTTTTGTTGATTTTTGTTGGTTATGTTGGAAGAATTCTCTGTTTTTCAGGCGGGCAATTACATTTTTCAAAGAGGAGCGCTGCGTATCAAAGCTTTTACTGCTTTGGATGTCTTTATTTGGTTTCTGTACTTTAAGCGTTATTTTACCAGTTAAGTCCAAGAACAAAAATAAAAAAAAATGTCCATCACTATATCAGAAATAGAGGATTGTGTTGAGTCCATCACTAAAAGCTCTTGACTGAGCACATTCCCGAAGCCAGCTATAATGAGTGTATAAGCCAGTAACAGCACACGGGGAATAGAAAAATGTGTCTGTACTGCTAGAGCAATAAGAGAGGACTCAACTCCCAGAAGCTTTCAGGAGGGCTTTATGTGAATCAGAGGACCAGAGCTCACAGCCATCTGACAAATCATAAGAAGCAGCACCATTAGCACCAACAAAAACAAACTCATTTCCGGTGGCAGAAGGCGCTTATTCTCCAGTATGACATTTAACCATTTTATTTTGTGTTAACATCCATAACCTCAGAGCAACCTCTCGCTCTGTAGTGGAGGAATGGAGAGCAGAGCCGAGTGAGTTGGGTTAAAGTCCACACCTCTGATACCATCTCCAGTTGGAGTTGCTTCAAAGCTGCAGAGAGTAAACAGCCTTGAGACATGGCTTTAGCAGCAAAAGCAAGACAACAGCGCCAAGCCGAGCCTTTCTCATGTTGCCTCCTCAAGAGCTGTGTGTCCATGCAACAGCAGCCATTGTGAGAAAGCTACACCATGTTTCTGAGGCCCTCTCCATCGCCTAAGCTCCTTTGTGGCTGCGGGCCAATGGCTTTGCACCCCGCCAGATCAAAGATGGAACCCCATTTAGCTTGTGCTTTCTTTTAGGATTTGCTCTTGAGAGTACAGAGCAGACTCAACAGCTAGAAAAAAAGGATGTTGGCTGTTGACCTTCATAGTACAGAGATTTCAGTGCTCAGGCTGTGGGTCCATTATGACAAACGCTGAGACCGGCTTTGTTTTGGCAGCATTTGCAAGTCTAAGACCTGAGAGAGAAAAAAATAGCCACAGTGAACTTAGGCGTATTTTGGTTCCATTGTACAACATGGTGTTGGATGTGGCCAATGGCTAGGCTACAAAATTACAGTGTGAATGTGTCACTGTATTGATGCTTTGGTTACAATTAAAATCAACCCCTGGGAATGAAAACATGATGACAGAGAAGCCCTGAATGTTAACAGTATTCAACCGAAACATGTAGTTAACCACGTTAGAAGTGCTTTTCCTTTAGTTTGTTCTCAACACAACTTTGAACATGCTAACACTAACACATGAATTAGTTTAGTTGTTGATCTTGGCATTCTGACATTTGCATTTAGCACAGAGCACATATTTTTCTGCTTATTAACTTAATGTTTAAATTAAAACGTAATAAAACAGTGCAAAACTACTTTACATACGTGTCATATTATTATTGTTTGTTTTACTGTATAGTAAAATATGAGTGGACTGCTACATTACAGTGAGTGACAGATGTTTACTCCTCTGAGATCGACAGCCTTTATGTTGTAATTTTAGCTAAATTCATTCAGAAATATTTTTAAAGATTTGCAAATCATCTCTCACTCTGGTCTGTCTGTGTCTCTGTTTAGCACACAGTACACTGCCCCGCAAAGGCTTGTGCTGAATGCACTAACTATAGCCTCTTTCTTGCTGTCTTTCAACACAGCTATAATGACTGGGCAGCTCATAAAAACATAAAGCATACTTGCTGAGCTGTGTAATTGCATAAAGTTAGTTTCTTTGTTTTGACATATAAGCTTGTCATTTTGGTTGAAAATGCAAACTCAGTTTCATAGCCCATGACAGGGCTGTTATGTCCCTGAACCACATGGAGTGATTTTTTAAAACAGAAGCTCTGCTTTAAGGTTTTCTTACAACAACTTCCATCAATAATGTTTTATAAATAAAGGCATACATGGTTTATATCCACAAACAGTTAAAGCTACAAACTTAAACCTGATTCCTGAACCTGTTTCACATTGATCAAATACTTAAAAAGACAGCCTGATGACTCAGGTTTGAGCCACATTTGTTGGCATTGTGTGAGAGAGAAGATTACCTGCAAACTGCTTGAACAAAACTGCCACAGGCTTGATTTAAATCCCAGATAAGACCCAGACTTTTTCTCACACCAGACCCTCTCTGCTCCCGTAGTGGCTGTCACACAGAGAGGTAGAGGAAGAGTAAGATGCTTACAATGAACTTCACTCTTTTCTACCTTATGTAGCTGAGGACTTGCTGTCTTAATGGTGAAAGACAGTACTGGGCTGGGGGAGTAATGATTTTAGCTTTAAACTGAATTACCAATCGATTGGGCTTGCAGATCTGAACACAGGTTGTGCGCCGACTGTGTGGACATGCTGTGTTGCGGAGTCGCTTTACAAATTGACTGCTGCAAACGTAAGAGGAAATGTATCTATATATGTCGGCTCTTCTCTGCATGCATGGTGGCCTGCTGGGCTTGAGCAGGCCGTACAATCACCAGTGGGGCAGCTGCAGAGTGTTTATGCTGAATTGAGTTTTAAATGAGCATGTAGTTGGTGAAGAAGACTTGGGGGAGCAGAAGATAACTTTTCCAGTGGCAAAAGGGGTCCAACTTGGATTTCAGGAAGAAAAAAAAAAACAGTGCTTCAGTCCTTTTTTGCTGAAAGAGAGGCTCGAAACTGGTGGTAGTCCAAGCTTTTAAGGAAATTGCATAAAAAATGCATAACAAATTACCACAGCTTTTCTGGAGTGAGGGTTGAGTTTTAACTGTGGTGTTTGTGCTCTCTTTATTGGGACCGCTGCAGAACATATTAGCACAAGTGTCATGTTCCAGAGAACACATGCTAGGCTGTGATTACTGAGCTCAAGCTGTACTGTAAAATCACTTGTCAGCAGCTGAAATGTTTCTGGAAAAGCCCAGGCTCTTGATTGAATTAGTTTGGTGGTTTTTCAGTGGGGAGGAAAAATGTGTCCAATTTGGTTACCTGCTGACAGACAATTGCTGTGTTATGACTTTTTCATCACACTGGAAAAGCAAGGAACCGTTCCCAGAGGGTGATTAAAAAAATCACCTTCTCATTTTCATGCTGTTTTTTTATGAAACTTTGCATTTTCCAGTCATGCATTATCCTTTAATCGCTGTTGACAATGCAGTATTCAGTCCTCAGATGTGAATTCATAGGCTAGTGCATGTTTATTTTCCATCTATATGCATGCAGAGCTGGCAGCTGTGCTATCAGAGGCTCTTCAGGCGTGTATTCTGGGTTGTCCAGTTCATGTTTACTGATAGGATCTGTGTGGTGGTTACTCCATCATATGGGGGGGTGGGATGGGGTCATGTTGGTGCAATATTGTGTTCGCCCTGAGGTTGAAATAATTTTGTTTGCTATAATAGCTGTAAAACACCTTATTTCCCACCGGACATTCTTTCATACAAATATTCCTGTGCTGGGATTTAAAAGGGGAGCATCAGAATTACACTGACTGCACTAAGAAAACAAAACAAAAGCAGATGTTGGTGATGCATGCTGATGTTTGTTTAAAAAGTCATTGAAACCTTTTAGGCTGATAATGAAAACCTAACTCAAGTGTTCAAATGGACTCTCAGAGCTATCTTGACCCAGAATGAAAAGAGAGGCAGTATTATGCATTTTCAGAAAACCTAGAAATTCAGATTCATCCCATTGACTGCCAGGCTTTTTTGTCTGCCTGCGATCATGCAGACAGTGGAGTCTTTTCACATTGGGATCAGGCTCCATGTAAGCTCTTAATTCTCCCCTGTTAAACAATTATTGAAGAAATGTGCTGGTGGTGCAGAAGGAGAAATAAAAACACTGAGTGCCTAGTGTTTGCTCTGCCATGTAGCCATGTCTGGCTCTTAGTGCAACTTGTATTACACAGCACCTTTAACGATGAATCCACTCCAATAAAAGCCTCCTACCCACAGCTATTTTAAAACCCATCTTTTCTATGGCTTTCCTTTGGCCTCTTACAAAAAGTGCATGGTTACCTTTTGGAAATGAGAAGTGAGGTGTCTTTTGAGTGCATGTAACATCTTCAACTTTTTCAACTCATCGATTTCCCCATCCCTCTGACACATTACAAATCTGATTCAAAAATACAGATATGTGCACCCATGCAAGTGTTTGGCCCTCACATGTCCAACGCATCTCTGTACTATCTCGTCACATCGTTTTAATTACTGAGCCTTCATTGTCTGCACTGACCCATTTTAGTGTAGTCCTTTCCGTCAGCTTCACGGTCCCTCCAATCACACTTAATTTCATCTGGCATTTGACTCAATCACTGATGCCCCATGAACAGGAACACAGAATGTGCCCCCCAACCCCCCAACCAAAAAAAAGAAATGAATTGGGAATAACAATAATAATCTCCACTCTCGACTCTGGGTTGTCCTCTAAGGCCCTAGGCCTGAGCGGCTCCACCACATAGTACAGCTTTTAACGGTAAAGATTGATACTGGTGGCAGGGGACTTTACTTGGGATGTTAGTCACAGTTCTCTGAGGAGATGTGGAACTGCACTTAAAGGGTCTTAAAACACAGTAAAACGTGACTCAGAGACAGAGCCAAGGGAGTTCCACATCACTAATTAGCACTAGAACTGAACTTGGTTGGGTTTTCCTAATTACGTCAATGCAATTTGCTTAATTCCTGTGCTTACAGTATGTATTCCAGCCACACCTCCCAGTATGATGCTGGTTGTAATGACACATTGCTTTATGAATTGTAAGCACTTACACGCTGTTGAAGATATCCAATTTAAACGCTGTTGTGCAGCATAGAAAGTAATCATGTAGAAAATGTGTGACTGCGAAAGCAGCCAAGACATTCACACACAACCGGTGATGAAGCTGGGTAAGAAAGCAAACACAAATTTTTATTAAATTTAAGAGATTTCTAATGTGTTTATATCCCTGAATTCTTATCGAACTACTTCAAATTAAGAGCAGCTCTCTGTATTCTTCAAAATCTCATTCAGAGAGATACAAGGATAGAAGACACAGAGACACCACTGCATGAAACCATATCTCCCCCACAATCAGAACAATGTTCCCAGTGCTTGAATGAAGAAGGATATCTCTGAGACTTCAATTTGTTATCTAAAAGAAGAAGGGGGACAGAGTAACACTTCCTAGATAAGCCCAGCATAAGGTTAATTACCAGCCGAGTGGCTGACGTAACCCAGCCGTGTCATGTCTCCAAATTACACACAGCTGGGAAATGAAGGGGTGCCTGTTATTGACAGAATATCCTCACTTGAGGAGTGTCTTTACAACACTGTGTTTTTGTATTTGTGAAAACATGCAAACCCCCAGTGTTTGACTCAGATATAGTTTAGTGGGGCAGCTCCAGGTAAGACAACACCAAAGGCTCACCAACCACCTGCTTCAGCCACTGCGAGCAGAGCTTGTGGCTCTCTTCTCATTGGTGCGTAACACTGTTAACATTGCTGCTGATTCCCGGCTCTCTCTCCAGGGCATAGACTAATTAATGGATACCATTCGCAGTTGATTAGCAGCAGTTCTTTCGGTAATTACATTCGCATACTAACCACTCAGAAGAAAAGGCGAAGGGGGAAAAAAACACAAAGGGCTAGAAAATGTATTAATGCACTTCTCAGTTCACTCTGATCTTAATTTGTTTCCACTATTGTTTGGCTTCTGCTTAGATAAGAGGCCATTTTTTTTCTCCCTCCCTCTGTGCATGGAGTTCTTCATCTGTCATAATGTTTTAAGAGAGTGACTTTGTAACAAACACACAAAAGAGATTACTGCAGAGCTTTGTTGAAAATGTGTTCTCAGTGGAACCTCATGAAGACGCAAACTCCTATCTCTCCTTCGTTCTGTGTAGGCTGGGTTTTTTTGCTCTCCTTGCTCACAGAGAGGTGCATTGTGCTCCTGGGCCCAGCTGCTAGCCCATAATTCTTCATTCTGTGTCCCATTGTTCCTACCTGTCAGCTTGGTTGTGTCTCAAAAGAAAAGGAAGTGGCTGCCATTTTGCCAGCAGGCTATGTGTGGGTCTGGGAGGGTGTATGTTGTGAAAACATGTTATTTCTTCCCAAAGTATAGGGTTTGAGTGGCTTATCAACCATTTTAAACAGTAGTGTGTTACTGCAGTGTGGAACTTATACCTCTTGTGGTTACGCTGTCGTTGCTCTCAAGTCAGCCTGAAGAACAGCAGAACAGGCATGTGCTTCCAGTGTGGACACTTTTTTACTCATTGAAAAGATCCCTCTCTTAAATCAGATTAATGTTTTCAAAGTTGTTGATAAATGTCAAACTCATGTTAAGTGAGAAAATTGCAAAACCCAGCTCCTGTAAACCCAAACCGCCCCCCATCGTATCATAACTCTCTCCACTTTCTTATTTCCTCTCCGTGTCACTCCCCTCCCTCAGTTAATTTGAAGTTAATAACCTGCCACTGCATCTTGATACTTGGCTTTGTGATGCAAACATATCCTTAATTGCGATCCCGTAAGAGCTGAATGGCCAGGCCAGATTCTCATTACCCTGGTTTGAATGTGCCCGGGCCTCTCACATTCCTCCTGTCGTCACAATAAAGGCAGAGTGGCCGAATGCTCTCGTGCACACAGAGAAAAGGGTTAACTCTGTGTGTAAACATTCAGAGCTAAGTGTTAGACCCGGTTTGAGTGACAGGTGTCTATTATGAAAGGGGTGAGCTCAAGTTGCACTTGGTGTTATCTGGGTACTAGCAGGCTCATTGTGTGTTTTTGTTTTCATTCGCAGTTCCAGAACAACAACAACTACATGAACATGACCGAGGCCAACGGCGCCCTGCTCGCCGCCGGTGATGTGAGTACACCTCATCTTTTTTTTCTCTATGTTGAATTAAAAGCTTAAATTCAACCAATCAAAACCTGCTCTTTAATAAGAATTGAGTCAATAACTTTGTTTTCTCAGTGTTAACTCTATGGATGTTTTATTTGGTGTGTGTGAGAGACACTGCTCTCTGGAAATAATGTCTTCATACTTCAGGATTTGCTATGAAAGGAAAAGTAGTTCTGCAAAGTTGGCAACAGTAAATATCATAGAGTATCAGCCCTTTATATGACACAAGAAAGCCCTCTAAAACACTCAAAATGATTAACTGCCATTTGGGCTCCATCTTTGTCCCAGCCAACTTTATTTTATTGCCTGAAAAGCTGTCTGCTCAAATGCTACCTGTCTTGAAAACCCACAAAGACAATAAGCTTACAGGAAAGAAGAGCTTGGCTCACCATATATTGCCTCTTGGTAAGTTGTGAGAGCTGACACTGATGTGATCTGACTGTCCTGACTGCACACAGTAAGATAACGTTATATCCAAGAAAGCGGAGAATTTAAACACTTGTTGTCTTTCTCTTTTCAAAGATGTAATGAAGGAGCCCAGAAAGATTCCATAGCTGCGTCAGTCTGAGAGCCGCTTTATGTGCTGGCACCGACAAAAAGTGAAATGTCACCAGTGATCTGAATCTGTTGAAGCTGCTGGAGTAAAACTGTGTATTGTACTGATGCATTGAAAGAAAGGAGGGGGAAAACTGTTTCTCTGGAGGTATACACCCGCCTCCCTGAGCTATAGAAGTCCTAACAGTGTGCTAAATTTACCCGCTCTATTCCCCCTCCACCCACTTCACTGCCCTGTCATTAGAGACAAGTGCACCAAAAATACCCATCATCCTCTGTGGTTCAAACGGGCCAATCTCATCCAGTTTAGCAGGGGAGATTGATCTAGCTCCAAAACCCACAGCAAAGCATCACTACACGGCCCCAGAATAGTGGGATGGATGTCATTGTTAACCTCATTGTTTTCATTCATGTCACAGGAGTGGTGGGGATCAAAGTGTGGCATTTGTAGGTTTTACGTGTGTGACCTTACTTTCATTAAGAGGGTGCGTTACAGAGACATGTTACAGAAGACGTTACATTCAGTCCCATGTTTATGCTGAGTAGGCGCATCCTCTGTATGCCTGGGTGCTGAGGTCCACTGCAGCAAAGACCACGCCAACTCAAGCTGCTCAGAGGACGTTCAGCCCCCAACTGTGAGGGCCCTCTATGGTAGTCAGAGAAATGGGGGATGGGCTGTTTTTTTTTTTTTTTGGGTGGGGGGCTTCTTGAAAACAATAATAGCCTGGTTCATTAGCATTTTATCAAAAGGAACAACTGTTTCCAGTGTTAGGGCACAGATGGTATTGTGCTTTGGAGAGAGAGAGAGAAGTCTTGGAGGCTGTTTACATGAAAATGTATTTGATAGGAAACATCATTTTCTATGGCTGAAAACTCACTTTTAAAATGGGGTTATATAGTTGAATATTTGGAAACACCACCCTGTCCATCCTCACATTAAACTGGAGATAGTTGAAAAACTGACGCCACAGCCTCCTAGTCAAATACCACTTCACAAGTAGAGGAGCAATAATAACAGTGACGAGCAGTGTGTCTTTGAGCTACTGACTCAGCTGAGTTTATTCACACTTCTGCTCTGCTGAAGAACTCCTCTGCACAGGTGCATGTTAACTTGAACAGGGTTTAACAACAAAGTTAAACGCTCAACTATTAGTCTGGTATGTGTGCTCCAGCACACATTTTTCAGGTTTGTATGCAAGCAAATTATTTTCACCGTGTTAACATGCTAATACAAATCCAAAGGGGACACTTTCCAATGTCTGTTTGGACTTTTCTCGTCAAAACAAGGCCTTAAGTTTAACTTTTGCTTGCTAAGCCAATGAGTGTCCAGTGTTGTTTGTTGCTAAAATAAGACTAAAGTTATGTTCTGAAGTTTAAATCTGTCATTACTGTATTGTTATATCAATACCAAGACGATGTCTGTCTAGCTGATAATACAGCATGAGAGGAAGTTTTTATCATGAAGGCCTTTTGATGAACAACTAACTTTGACAGCAAGGCTAAATTTATGCTTCCACATTTGGTTAGCTGTTGTTTCAGATCAAACTAAGATGCATCCCTGAACTTTAAATATCTGAACTTCATTTCTGTCTCTCCACTCTAATGTAATTCTGTCTAAATAAAATGCATATATTAATCTCTAATCTTTGAAATACATCACTTTGACACATTTTGACAGTTTGTCAAAGTATGTTTGTGCAATTTTCAAACCATAAACCTACTCCTAAATCCAGGCCACGCTGAGTATGTCAAAGCATAAGACGTCAAGTCTTATATATTTATGATTTTTTAGTAAAATGAAAGCTCTGTTATTTTAATACTCAAAAGGAAGTTTTAATAAAGTTACACTTTAACTTGTAATAATACAGCGTGTAATTTTACAAAAGCCATTTAAGCCTTATATGAACCTGTTTACATGCAGCTGCTATGAGCACCACAAAATTCCTAGTAATGTAATGCAGGTGAATACAGGACTTGCACAAACCAGAATGCCTCCTTGTTAGAATGCCTCCTTGTATTTGTTGTTTAGATGGTCAATGTATCATTTACCTTTTGCACTTAGAGGATAAGATAAGATGACCTTGGTGTTCCTGGTAAAGCATACATCCTAGCAGAGAAAGCTTGACTGCTTTCCTCAGGGAAAAGGATACTGTACACTGAGATTGTATTCCACTCAGATGTATCGCTTTACCTTCTCAATCAAATTAGAGACTTGTAATGATCTATAAATATGTAGAAATGGACTACAAATGATCCAAATTTGAACTAATGTTGACGAAGGGTGCCGTGGATGATGTTGTCATTTGAGTAGCTGCACTCTGCCCGTCTATATCGTTGAAACTGGATCCTCAATCCTGTCTGTATTGATTCTGAGGCCTATTATATGCAGTAATTGCATGCTGCTGCCTTTAACAAGTTCTAGTTATTGCATCTGTGAATTGCATTACTAAGTTTATTGAAGGACTGGGAGTGATGCCTAAAATGCTTTTTCTTGCTCTTTGTCCTGGTATTGACAGAGCACCATGGGAGCATAGGGCCAAACACTGGAAAAAAAAGACTGGAGGAGAAAATTACCTCATCCTAGTCCTTCCAAAAATAGCATGTGTCCCTTTTTGTTAACACAGTTTTATCTGTCTGATAGAGTTAAAACACTGGGATTGTGTTTTAAATCAAGATATACTGTTCAACTTAAAAATGTGCACACGCTCCACACCAACCCCTGTAAACACTGCTGGTGACATTGCTTTAGGAAATATCTTAACAAGTGAATTTGAATCAATCAGGTATTGGTAAAGCCTGCAGAATATGATGGTCCAAGCTTGCCAAAGTGCAGTTTGACAGGCTTCTTTTATCTACCACCACAAGTTTTGCATTGACGGTTTTTTAGTAAGATGTTTCTTTGGCTATAAATGGGATTATTTAGAATTTCCTGACATGTTGTAAAAACTTTGAAAAACCTTGTTTTATCATTACTATGAGCCCATTTTAGTCCATCCAATGTTTGGTGTATGACTCAATACTTGCATCATTATTGTCAGCCTCATCTGTGCTGTAAGGCACCAGCTCTGGATGTCGATGGCCAATACATCAGACCTCTCTGTAAACAAGCCCTGCTCTGCTCTGCTCTGCTCTGCCTTCATACCACTGGACCCTGTGGCTGCCAGTGGACAGACAAGACACTTGCCCACCCTTTAATGTGCACATGCCCACACATCCCAAGCCAGCATCTGTCTTGGCACTTGGCTCTGTTGAGCCTTTCAGAACAATTTAAATGGATAATCAGGGTGGTGATGCAAAGAAAGTGGATTGTGCATCTCTTAATCTGCGATCAGAGCCCCCTAAGCTGCTCTGGGTGTAGAATTAGACTGGCTTTATGTGAAATGATACTAGACAGTGTGCAACACTGTAACACTCTGTGGGTTCCAGTAAAATCTGGCACTTCTTCCCCAGGGAGAGGGTCTTTTCTTCGCAGACAGCTGACATCTTCCATACCCCCCAAATGAGACACAAACGCCATGTCTCCATTATCAGTGCCCCTGGTGCAGATGTTAATTTGTATCATCATTAACAAAGAGAAGCCATGCACACAAGCACAGACTGAGATACTGATCTCGTGCTAGCTTCCCTCCCGCTCAGTAATCTGTTTCTTTTTCTTTCCTCGACTTATTCTGTATTGTCGAAACTAAACGCCAGCATTCCCCAAGTACATGTCTGCATTTTGCTTAAAGGTCAAAGTCATGCTAGTGCTTTTCCCCCACTAAAGTGGAGCTCACCTCAGCCAACCTCCGTCTTTGGCTTCTCAAATCTCCAGGTTAGCTCTGTAATTCAGGCCACAATGCAGCAGCCTATAGGAGCCGGTGGCCTATATACTGTAGTTCTGCCCTGATTTACCTTTCACAATGTAACATCAAAAGAAACTCACTTACTCCTGCAAATGGTATTCGCATTAGAGCACGATCAGGAGAATGTGTTATCGTGTCCTGCTTCAGCTCAGGTCTGTGTAAATATTTTCAGTATAAATGGCTGTACTGGAAAAAGGGAGCCTCAGACAGGGCTCTTATTCAGTCAGAGAGATTATAATAGTGTGCCAGGGCTTTCAGATTGTTACATGATATGACACAGATGAGAAAGGGACCGTAGATTTCAGAGCTGGTGTGGAGGTTGACCCCACTCCACTGGAGATCTTACAAAAGATGAATGGAGACAGTGATGATGAACAATCTCTGATCCTTCCCATTTTCTGTTGGAGCTTTTTGTCCGTGACTCATAACAGTTTAGTCGCTCAGTTTTATAAACCCTCTGTGTTTTGATTCACATGCTGCTGAATAGGCATTATGGTGAAGTAAGTTCCAGAGGCTTTTTAAGTGGACTGAAGCATAATATGACAGCAGAGGACTCAGAGGAAGTGCTTCCTACTGAAGGTTCTTGTGATTTATTCTGCACTCTGCGAGCCAGAGGCCAGAGCTGTGATGAATATGACCTTAGCTCCTTCTGAAAGGAGAGCTGATTCTCTAGCTGTGAAACAAGCACTGAAAAGTGAAACAGTGGTAGGGAGCAGGAGGAGAGAGAAAGGAAAGAGGGGGAAAGAAAACTCTATTAGCTAACTCTGCCACTGGAATTCATCAGTGCTTGTCAAGACAGCTGCCCTGAGTAGGCAATGAATTAGTTTCAAGTGTCTGTGTGCTAAAGCAAGCAAGGGGAACATTAATACTCCCTAATCAAGGGCTGTGTTGGCATATTCCCTCTGTTGTCTTCCTTCTGTTCTTCTATCCCAATCTGGATACAGAAAGACGTGGCAGATGAAGCTGAAGAAGACACGTCTGGTTAGCCTTTGTTGTATGTTGCCGTAATAAGAAACATCACATTTACAGGTTTGGGGTCAGTAGAACCTTATATTTGTGTGATTCCTGCAGAAATGGATTAGAGTGACTCGATGTAAGCCACAATTTAACAGCTGTGTGAGGAACCTTTTCGACAGGATGGGTATATCTCGAGGTGCGATCCTCTGTGGGGCTCACAGTCCTGTTGAAACATAAATGCAGGTGTGTGGAAAGTGAAATAACTATGCAGGAAATTGAAAGATTCTTGCAAAATTGTAGATTTTCTCCCATTTTTAACTACGGATGCATTGATCCAGTATTTGGATCGGATATCGGCTCCGATATTGACAAATTAACTGGATTGGATGAATGATGAATGGCGCCGATCCAGCAGTCCGATCCAGTCTTCTTTTTTTCTATTTTTGCGATCAAAAATAAATAATATTAAGTAAATTAATATCTGTGTTGATTTATTACCTTACTGTTAACAAGGCTAATGTCAAGCCTGATGCCTTCACTTACAGGGCAAAGTATACAGTTCATTCATTCAACAGTAGTATTGAATCAGTATTGGATATCTGCCGATATGCTCAGCCCAGGTATCGGTATCAGATTGGATCGGGAAAAAAATGGATCATGCATCTCTATTTTTAACCCCCTAAGTTAGTTATTTTGTCTCTTGCCAGTAAAATCCAGTTTTTGATAAAGCCACCCAAATCCAATTTTAAACAGTGCCTCATAGCGACCCAAGGCAAGGACAAGAAAGGAGCATTCGAGGTTAGCACAAGCTCAGCATTTGTGTTTTATAGCGTCTACTTGATGCATTTATGTTTTCTGTCTGTTGAACACATCCACTAATACTGGAAACCTAACCTGATTTTACCGCTTTGCCACTCTGCTTTTGTGGAGTATGCCAAATGCTAGCAGGTAAAATCATGTCACTTCTAGCAGGAGGCCCATGCTTTGAAGGGGTTTTAGTTACTTAGCAGCAGCAGCAGCAGCAGCCAAGCCCGGCGCCTCAGACAGCATGCTGTTTGGCCCTGTGTTCAGCTGCATGTTTGTGGACCTGCGGTATGGTCATTGTGAGGACATGAATATATTGGCTTTCCAGAGAGAAGCTTAATGCAATGTGCAGATGAAAACAAGACCCAAGTAGGTGAACAGTCCCATCTCCAAGAAGGCACATAAGCAAATTAAGTGTGACCAAAAGCTTTAATTCGAAAGGCAGAAGGATTAGGCTGTTTGATGAGCAGATTTAAGGGTGCAGGCAAGGGGAACAAAAAGGAACACTTCTGGCCAAGCGTAATAATCTTTGAAAATGTTCTTTAAACCCATCTCCCTGTGACGTGTATTTTCACTGCACTTCAACCCAACATCTTCCATCCTCAAGATTAAGGGCTTTTATCGTGTATTCCTTCTCTCTCTCCCGTGATTGCGGCTTGATATTTTTGCTTTTGACGTCTTCCTCTGCTCTCGCTTTATTCTGTCTCCTTCTTCCTCAAAGTGGACTTTAATAGGTTTAGGAAATGTTACATCTTAGTGCACTTACAGACAAGTGTATTACCACTCTACTAAAACACTCCCTCTTTTAAACAAAGTTGTCTGATTTAATCCCTTAAGGTTTCCATCCGGCATGTTAGATAAGACCCACCTCAGCAGATGCTTCCTGGCTATTTTGTGTTGCTTCATTTCACGATTTTCCTCTTTTTTCCTCCCTTTCTCACTTTCTGCAGACTTTTCATACACCCAGCTTGGGAGACGAGGAGTTTGAGATACCCCCCATCACACCTCCACCCGAGACTGAGTCTGGTTTGGGTCTATCTGACGTGGACTCACCTTACCCGGCGATGCCAGAGCCTCCAGCTCCACACAGGGGTCCCTTAATCCCTCAGTTCCCGCCTCAGAGCCTGGATCTGCCCTCGATTACCATCTCACGCAATATGATGGACCAGGAAGGGGTGTCTGTTAACAATGGCCAACCTGTGGTGAGCACCGCTATGTATACAACACTAGATAATGAAGAAGTTTGTTTTTGGAGAGTAGAGAAATGTTCTTCTCACATGTCAACACTCAGATATGCTGCTGTGGCACCGCTCTGGTAGCTGTTCCACTGAGAAAGGCAGCTTTAAATGTGGTTTTTTAATGGTATACCAAATGTAAACTTCATTTTTTCTACGTAAATATCAGTGTTGTCATGATACAGAAGCTAATATCAGTAAGGGAGCTGTTTAGATGCTGATACTGATATCATAGTTGTTCCAATACCAATACTGCCAAAAAAGTTTGACTGTCATTGAAATGGGTCGATACCATAACCAATTCATCCAAAAATAGTAACTGTATTTTGTTAAATCATCATTTGACAACAACCATCAGCAGAGCTTTATTAGCAAAGAGTGCAGCACTAGACAAAATTAGTAAACACTGAAAAAATAACCTCATCTTAGTAAGTCTCATTTCTAGTAAGAAGTGTCTGTTAGGCTTAATTTAAGTCATATAACCTGAAAAAGCCATAAAAACGTCTTATTCTAAGACATTTCACACTAAAACTGAGACAAACTGAGAAAAAGAATTATAAATAAATGATATTGAAATAAGAGATTTTACTTAAAACAAACAATATCTTCTCATATCTTTAAAAAAAGACTTAAATGACACCTAACATGACACCTTTTTAAGACAAAACTATTGCTAAGTTTTGAGTTTTTCAGCAATCACATACTTCTGCAGTGTTTTCTTTCAAGTCTCTTTCCCCAGACTTGGATACCGGCAAAAATTCAGGTCTGCAGCTTTAGGGCATCGCTGCTTTGAAGTATTGTAGACCATTGATAAGAGAAGCAAATATTCCTTAAATAAGCTCTTTTTTTTTCACTGATCCGTAATGTCACCTTCACAGTTTGCGTATGGCTCCTGTTGTCAGCGCATCTGGCGCAGCATCTGGCCTTGTTTACAACACAGGAGGTATATGATCACATTGAGTAAATGTCATGATATTATGTTACTTACTGTGAGGAATTTTTTTCAAAAAAGCACACAGAGAGTGGATGATCCCCTCTCTGTAAGGTGAGCAAATGTGAAAAGATCACAGGTGTTAGGACTACAAAGCATATTCAGCCCCAGAAGGGCGGTGAACATGGGACCCAAAAGTGCCACAGTTTCACATGCTCATATTTAATTCATGCTGCCTCCACATGCCATTTTTTTGTGGGGCTGTAAATGCTGATGCATGCTTCTGCCCAATGTCACACGAGGTCCTCAGAGAAGACATATGCTGTATTTAGCGTAAAGATCAGCTTTGTTTTAATGCTGTATTACTCTGCATCACTGTCCACAAAGGACTGGATTTACATAATCCACTTTATTTTTTATTTTGTGTTGCACTTGGTCAAAGAAGGAAAAGACAGAGAAATCACCATCTTTATGTTGATGCTGTTTGGGCTATAGATTGTAAGATTGTTGTCTTGGGGTGGGGAGACATTTTCAAATGCCACAATCATAGAAGCATTGAGGAGGAAAAATGGAAATGTCACAGGCTGACTAGTTGTCTTACAGTCCTATTACAAAAATATGAAAGATTCATTTGGGAGAGAAGAAAAGAAGGACACAGGCATGAGCAGAAAGAAGACAGCGATGGTGCTGAATTTGCTTTGTGAACCAGCAGACACGTAGCATTGAGAAGAGGTGGCATGATCATTATAACTGTGAATAAAAAGTGTTTTAGACCCATTGCTTCCCCCCACCTTTTCTCTAACACATTTGTTGAATCACACTGATATCGGAGATATTTATTTACATTCCATATGGGAAGGAGGCTGTAACATTTTACAGCTTTTTTTTTCTTGCTCCCATGCTTCTGGCATGTAAAATAATTGCAGCTTTTAAAAGATCTCTGCTTCATACAGTAAGTGAGCCCCAGAAGGCTTTTGCCTAAAGAATTTTCATTTCATGGTCAGTTAAGCTTTCCACATCTGGAAGAAACGGAGCCTTGACACAATTACATTCCTGACTGTTCTCACGACTTGCTGGAGGATTAGATTTGATTCTCAAACATTATTCCTCTTTAACACCATTTGCATGGCTCATGTCTCTGATTGTGCGGGGACTCTATTAAAATACGAGGGGAGAATGTGGGTTTCTGCTCCTTGCCTCGTGGCATTGTCGTCGGCACACTACTCACCGTTATCAGTCATCACACATTGTGTGGCAGGAAAGGCTTGCGGTGGCCCTTCATTTCTCCTGCAAATGGGATTGATCCCCAAAAGTCTTTTGCCTATAGAAATCCTATTCATCTGTGGTTTTTATCTTTGTCTTGAAAAAAGAACACAACTTTTAAATGAGATAAGTAACAGCGAGGTTTGCAGTACGCTCCAAACACAGGGACAATGATTTACGAAGGCCCTAAGAGGGGTGTTTTGTCATTTTGTCAGCACACTGATAAAGGAATGACAACCTTATATACATGATTACATTCTGTGTTATTTGTTATGGCTGCAGGGGCAAACAAATAAACCTTGTACTATTGCAATTACATTTTTCATCAAGCCAGCATGCTCATATTTCCCAAACACTCTTCTTGGTTTTTCTTTGTGTGCTCCAGCTCGCTGCTTGAGAATATGTAGTGTGTGTCTCTTATCACAACTTAATGAGAAAGCAAACCAGTGAACATACCTGGGCTATTTTCAAAAGCTCTTTCCATGTCATTGCATTGCCAAGTGTTCTGCTAATTCCTCTCCCCATAATGTTCAGCGTATGTCTCACAAATTGGCCACAGATGCCAGGCTTCTACAAAGAGAAATACATTTTCTCAGCTGCAGTGCGCTTGGCAAGCCCTGAATCTGAAGTCATTATTTATTTAATCTGCTCTCCTAACAAGCTTCTGACTCTCATTTTTGTCTCCCAGCATGTGTCCTCCTGATTTGTGATTGAATCTCAATAGTGCCAAATAGTACTGGAGTTAGAGCTGCCTGTATTGCTTTATTCACAATTTCTCTCTCGATTTTTCTCCCCACTGCACAGCGAGGGTCTCGGGGTTCTATTTCAAAAAACACCTGGTGCCTCCGACACATTTTGAAGGTTTTCTTGACACATATAAGCATGTACTGAAATGTCTCCCATGATTGGATCTGAAACCTACAGCAGTCAAGTAGTTTTATTAGATGTTAAAATCAGTATTTATGAGATATGAGCCCTGCTGTCTTATTACATTTACCACCATGTGGTGATGCATTATATATTTTTCATTATCAGCCTCATCCCATTAGCTTTTCCAACAGCAAAGAAATGCTAATACCTCATCTCTCAAGCTGGAATAGCCATTTGTAGCTACTTGTTTATAGGATTTGATATTTCCTGATGTTGTGTAGATTGCCAGTGAGTATAATACTTTCAGCTTTGACCGGTCAAAAACCACTGTATCCTGAATTAAATGGAAAATGTGAGCAGTGTTGCTGAAAGCATGTTTTTCTACACTTTCCTCTTATCTCCCTTCCAAGCCAAGAAGCACTGACATGAGTTGTACATCAATTTAAGAGAGTGGATTTTTTTTTCTCGCTCCGTTTCTTTTTTTCCTTTCTCCTTCCACAGACAGCTATTGTGACATATTGGGTCAGTCAGAAATGAAAGATATTCATGCAGGCATGCAATACTTGTAATGAAGTCTCAGCTTGACCTTCTGCATGATTGATTCTGTAATTTACTTTTCTCAGGCAGCACTCAAAATGAAATGATGTCATGTTGGACAAGTTTTAAATACCCATAATGCATTAGGAGAAATGGTGGAGAGGGGTATGGGTCAGTGGCTGTTCCAAACTGAGTTCAGGGGAAGGGGGCTACTGACCTCATATTCAAGGGGGGGAGATGTGGGGTAGAGATTTGTTTTAATGTGGGGGTGAGAGGTTGGGAGATAGATAGAGTGGGTCTGCAGCAGAGACAGAGAGAGAGAGGGAGAGAGACAGAGACAGAGGAGTGTGTTTGACTGAGACAGGGCAAGGGAAAGAAAAACAATTTATCTTCATGCTATTATAGCCTTTACTGGCATTCAAAATTCCATTTTTCTCATTTGGCTTAAGCACAGACTTCAGCAGGTTGCTGAAAATGGAGGGAAAAAAATAAAATGATGTACCCGTTTAGAAGGCAAGTAAAGGAATATGTGCAGCACGCTGATAAACTATCTTTAATAGGACTGACCTTTCATGCTGGCGAAAGTTACTGGGGGATTCATCCTTATAATTACCATATAGATGATTTTACCCCTCTCCTGCCATGGAACATTTCCAAGAGCTCTGGCATTGATTGAATGGAAATTGAACTTGTTAACATTCTTTTCAGCCTGTTACAGCTCAGTACATGGTGCCAATGTTCATACATTCCCCCCAAATTCTGATTTCTAATATCTTTAAGAGCAGACTGGAGCCTGCTTTCATTCACATCACTGTGAAGATTTTTATCGCTCTCTGGATGCGTAATATTGTGACTTGAGTCCAGCTGCTGTGTTTATTGGCCAGGGTTTATTGTGTGAAGGGTTTCACACATTGTCAATAGTGTGTTTTTTTCCCAGCCTTTGCTAGTTTTCAGAGCACTTCATGTGGCTGTTTGTGGAGTGTTTGCTGTGTTAAGTGTGCAGGCCAAGTACCGAACAAGCATTTATTTTCTCTTTTTGCAGCATATGCTTGATTTTGTTTCTGTGAGCCGGATCAGATTTCAAAATAAAAGAAAGACAAGGAGAGATATTGAAAACATAAACATAAGAAAAGCAAGTATTGATTTGAACACAAAGATGGACAACAGCACACCTACACACACACACAGACCTGGCTCAGGAGGACACATCTGGCCACTGTACTTAAGATAAGGACTTCCATGCAGATTTACGATGACTATCAAAATATCCAGTTAGACGTCTGCTGTGACTGCTGACAATACTGCAATCAAAATGCAAATGAGAAGGCACAGGGACATAAATAAACATCTTAGTACCAGATTCATGTTCACAATCAAGGAAACGGTTACTTAAGATGATTTCTTTCACCACCGTGTTATTAGCTGTTATCTTTTTATTCAAATCAGACGTGTACTAATGCTAGCATTTCACTGTAACTGTCACCACTCTTTCATCTCACATTGAATAAAAAATAAAATTACCGTGACTCCGGCGATTTCCACAATACGTGATATAAAACGACATTTATCAGGCTGTTGAGAGTGATATGATGAAATGTTCAGCTGTGGTCATCGGTGCATATTTTTCAAAAAACTGCACAACATCCAAAGCACATTTAAGCAGAAACCACCAGATTTCAAACAAACAGAGGAAGGACCATCGCACTGAGTCAAAAGTGCATCACTGGGATTGAGCAAAAGTGATATTATACAGATGGCCACAACTAATGAGCTCAGTGTGTGTGTCTTTGATGTTCGCAGTGAGCAGAGAGCAAACTGCGAGCCATTATGTTCCCAGTAATGAAGATGACAATAGCACTTGGAACATGGTGGGTTGCAGATATGTAAATCACAGCCATTTGGTCATGGGCTTGTTTATTGCAGCTTTTATATGAGAGAAAACTGAAATCTCCCATATTTGAAGAACCACAACAATATGTCTTCAATTTCTCTCCCACCCTGGCCTCACCTCTCACTGAATCTTCCCATCACATGTAAATATAAATCCGCTCCCACTTCAGAGATTGTATTTATGATAAGCAGGAGACATGCTATATGAGAAAGAAATGGATTGTAGATCCAATATGTTTCTGTCTGAAATGGTGTTACAATATTGTTTTTGAAGAGCGGCATTCATAAGGTTCTTTCAATAAAGCCAGGTGTGTGGGTTTATGATGTGTTGATGTTGGGAGAGATTGGGTTTGTGCTGCTGAATACCAGATGGATGTACCCAGGGAGAACAAATCACCTTTTCTGTTGTGTTTCTGTTCCATGTCAGCTCTGCTGCCTCTCTGATCAGTCTTCCCTCTGGGGAGCTGGCAGTGCTTGTAATTTCATTCTCTCCACAATCAATGCAAACATGTTGCCTACACCTTCTCCTAGACTCTTTCCAGAACAAAATGTTTCAGCTTGGAAAAAGGTGAAAGACATTCGGAGAATGATATTACTCTAAACTCTGGAAGGTAAAATGAAGGGAACCTGTCCAAAGCTCTTAGGTTTTATCCCTTCAGACAGTTGATTTATGGAGTCGATTTTATGGAAGAGATGTTCAGATACCATTTTTCCCTCCTGATACCTTTTCCAATACCTAAACGTTGGCTGATACTAAGTATCCAAGGGTCAGATCATGAAAGAATAAACATTTTATTGGCTGATGAATGCTGGCAGCTGAGACTTATCTTTGAATGACATTACACCTCCTCTGTTGTTGTTTGTCACGGTCACACCAACACTTACCTGAAACCAGTTGATTTTTAGGGGCCATGTGGATCACTGCATTGACTGGCATAATGGTTGATATGTAATAGCAATATTATATGCAGCATCCAAGACCAACACCTGCAACTGTGCTATATAGAAGTATTCTCCATATCGTGTGGTCAAATATAATGTCTGGAAGGTGCCTATTTCACAGAGTTATAACCTCAAAAGAGCCTTTCTCTGATGCACACAGGCTTGTATCAGCCTCAAAGACAACTGTCATATAGGTTCATGCTTACAAACTGTGACTCCAACAGTCTTTTTATCGTAGCATTTGAAGTTGTGTACCACACAGGGATCTGCATCCACTGTTGCCCTCAAGGGACCAGGCAGTCAAAGGCTGTGTCACAGATTTCCATACAATAGCGTTTCGAAATGAATCAACTGAGCTGTGCAGCCATCTATTACTGGCTTATAAAGTTGGCCTCTCTGGTGTCAAGATAATTTATCATGGTCTGTAATTGAGACATTTAAGACCCGGGACATTGTGACATGCTATCTGCCACATAACAATCCACAGAACCAGTGACTGGATTTCCTCTCTGGTGAAGAGATATCGTCTCATGAGCTTTGTACACTGGGCAGTAGGGTGTCACAGTAGGGACAGAAATATCCTTGAGCTGGGTAAATGAAAAGGCAGCTCAAACCTCAGAGCATGAAAGCAGAGGGGAAAGGATCAGTGGAATCATACCTTTGATTATTACTGACTAATTAAACCACCTTTGATCAATGCTTTTACAGAATGTTGGACCGGGCCATCTTCGCCAGTACGCTCCCAACCCCGCCATGGTGATGAAGTCCATTATCAACATGAACAGCCCCAATGGGATGATATCGAGGAACCAGCTCACCACCATCAATCAATCCCAACTCAACGCACAGCTGAGTCTAAATATGGGAGGACCCAACATCACCCACACTTCCCCATCACCGCCTGCCAGCAAGTCGGCCACCCCATCTCCTTCCAGCTCCATAAACGAAGACGACCAGGATGAAGGCAGGGTGAGAAAAGTCACGTAACTGCTTTAAAATGCCATTGAAAAGACTTAAGTCGGTGAAATCCTTATAAAAAATCATTACAATTCTTGCAGGTCATCGGGGAGAAGCGACCAGCCCCCATAGATCCCGCCAAGAAGCCCAAGACTCCTAAAAAGAAGAAGAAGAAGGATCCCAATGAGCCTCAGAAGCCAGTATCAGCTTATGCTCTGTTCTTCAGAGACACCCAGGCAGCTATTAAGGGACAGAATCCCAATGCCACCTTTGGAGAGGTGTCTAAGATTGTGGCCTCCATGTGGGATGGACTGGGAGAGGAGCAAAAGCAGGTACGGCACAGTCTGGTTATATAGACATGTAAACTAGAGTAACATAAAGTTTAATCAGAGATCATGATTCAGGTGGTCTATGTAGTGTATGTTGTATCGACTGAGGTACTTATTTCTGTTTTTTTTTTGTCCATTTACACATACTTCTTTGTTATCACAGGTTTACAAAAGCAAAACAGAAGCAGCGAAGAAAGAATATTTAAAAGCCCTGGCTGCATACCGTGCAAGCCTGGTTTCCAAGGTGAGTAACTGTTCCTTTCTTTTGCCTGAAAAATGTACAAATTTGAAGGGAAATGAAATTATTTTTTCACATTTTGTGGTGTAATATTTTGATTGCTGCAGCTTAAAGCTGCACAGTTTGCCTAAAGGTAGAAGAAATAGCATGTTTTAGAGGTAAAACTCTGTCTTTGTTGATAGGTCTAGACTTTAATGTTTTGTTTTGTTTTGTTTTTGTCCATCTAAGGCCGCAGCAGAATCAGCTGAGGCTCAGACTATCCGGTCAGTACAGCAGACCCTGGCCTCCACAAGCTTATCCCCGGGTCTGGTGCTGCCTTCACCCCTCAACCAGCATCCCTCTATGTCAGCAGCTTCTCAGGCCCTCCAACAAGCCCTACCACGGGCCATTGCCCCCAAACCTCTGCAAATGAGACTGGGAGGCAGTCAGATTGTGACCTCGGTTACAGTGTCCCACCAGAACATGTCCCCTGGGATGCCACCACAGATGATGGGCCAGATGGGTACCGGAGGGTCCATGGTGGCAGGTGCCCAGTCCACAGCAGTGTCTCAGATGAGCCCACCCATGCAACCAGTGCAGCAGCACGCCATGCAGCAGCTTCAGCAGCAGCAGCAGATGCAGCAGCATCTCCATCAGCATCAGATGCAGCAGCAGCAGATGCATCACCAGCAGATCCAGCAACAGATGCAGCATCAGCATTTTCAACACCACCTCCAGCAACAGCTGCAGCAACACCACATGCAGCAGCAGCAACAGCAGCAGCAGCAGCAGCAACAACAACAACAACAACAACAGCAGCAGCACATGCAAATGCAGCACATGCAGCTGCAGCATCAGATGCACCATCAGCAGCAGATTCAACATCTCCAGCAGCAGCAGCAGCAGCAGCACCAGTCCCAGTGTTCCCCACCGCAGCACTCTCCTGGTACTCCCCATTCAGTGGGAGGCTCTGCATCACTTGGCAGCCCCCAGCCGACCCCCCAACAGCAACCCCACCCCTCCCAAATCCAGGCACATGCCCAGGTCCTGTCCCAGGTCAGCATTTACTGAGCCAAATGGAAATCCTATCTCAAAGAACAGGAATAGAATAAAAGCATCGTACCATGTTGCTTTTCTGAGTTGCACTTAAGAAGTGTGTAAAATTTAGAATGTTATACAAAGAACTTGTCCATTGTTATAGACGGATATGCACACACCTGTACAGGGGGTTAACATATTAACTGGGATTTTTTTTTCTGTCATTGGCGTAGCTGTGATGGAAGCCTGTTAGGATGAGCGCCCAGTTGTTTGTTTGTTTGTTTGTTTGTTTGTGAGGTCTTTCAGTTGTCAATTTAAATTGACTGGGCACACAATATGTTGAAAGACATGTGTCTTTTGCTGTTTTATTTAACAATGAAGCTTTATTTATGAGGCCTGAGTTTTCAGTTCAGCGCAGCAGAAGGACATATTGAAAATGTTTCAACAAAAGGATTTCTATCAGCTCTGCCTGAACTGAATGACTCACAGGATCCTTGCTGGAAACCAGTAACCCACACATCTATCTTTGTTCCCACACTGGCCAGTATATCGCAAAAATTTCTTTACTCTAACCTTTCTCTTTCACCTGTCATCCTGGAACTGTTCGATGGCGTGGAGGAAATGGGTGATCAAACGGTCACACGTCGGTGGCCCAGTGATACAAACTCATACCATGTCACAAAGGCAGACTATATAGAAAAGAATACGAACTGAACGGACTGAGGCGGACCTGCCATAAAACATTAATGTCATCGGATCACATCATCAAACTGTCGCTGTAATCTGCTGTACATGTTTTATAGAGTGGGGGAAGAGGAAACCTCCTTTATCTCGTGATTGACCCTCCAAATGATTGGTCCAAAAGCCTGCGAACCCCCCAAAAATCTTCGTTAATCTATTTGTTTTTACTTCAGATGTTTAACAATTAAATTATGTTTTTATTTTGTGTAACAAAGGGGATATTTTATGGTAAATACAAATATCTGGATCAAGGCAGATGGTTTGGGGATTATTTTTACTCTGCTCCTTGATACCATCATTGTTTTAAAAAAGAAAACTAGCAGAGCCAGTTTGTTGCACTGCCAAAGCCAACTGAAAAGGCATCGGAGGTATTTTTGCCAGCTGTATAGAAGTCCCTGAAAAAAAGAAAATGTTGTACATTTTTCATATCACCTGTTGTAAAGTTTTAATATGTGAGGCTTTAATTAAAACATTGTTAAACGACCTGTGGATTGCTATATCACATAGTGCATTTCTGCTCTTTTATACTTTTTTATGAGTTACAATAGCAGCGATTAATTTTGTTTGTATTTTGCTTACAAATCAACTGCTTTCCAAACTGTCCATAGTATAAATGCATATCTGTATGGAGTTCTTGAAAAGTTGTTTTCAGCTCACAATAGGAGAAGTAATTTAATGTTTGAGTTTTGCTCAGCCATGAAGACGAATCCAGAGACATTCCATCACTAATATGATAGTAGCCATAATTTTGTATGAAGTATTATATATTTCTTTGTGTCTCTGTTCAAAATTAAACTATCAATCACAAGTATTTATTTGGAAGAATTGGTTTATTTCAAAAGTTATTTGAGCCATATTTTCTATGAAGCATTTCTTCATGTTTCCTGTTCAGAATGGAAAATAAAACGGATGAATATTCATAGCACCCTTTTCCTCGTGAGATACCAAAAGAACGTTTGTATTTTCTTCTGTGGAGTGTTTCTTTAGAAGGAGACATACTTTTCAGGTGAGCATTCCTGTTGGCATTATTATAGTGTGCTTTTTCTTAGTGATCTAAATGGAAGTCCTTTGTAACTGTGAGTAAAAACAGTGTTGATACTGGACAAGGTCAGCATGTAACTGGTACTTGTCTCAATAACAGTCCCCTTCTCACACACCAGTGCACTGGATTCTGCCTCTTTCTTACTCCCTTCAAAATCGCTTCATTTCCAAGACATCCCCGGGGGTTTGCTGAGCTCCCTTGAATAATATGGAGAGCGAGGGGAGGGGCGGCAGGCAAACAATAATTATCATATCTTCACAATAGCCTGTGAATGCACCAGCCCAGAGAAGGGACCTTTTCTCTCTCTCTCTCTTTTTCTTATTTTTACTCCAAAGGCAGCTGAGACATTTTAGACATGAATTAATGTTAGTTACAAATTAGGAAAAGAATCTGCTCTGTTCTTCTGTGATAGCAGCGTGATAGAATTTTCAAATTGCGGTTTGTTTTCAATTAGTCCGATTTGGGAAAGCATTTGTAATTTGGGCCGAGGCTGCTACAGCTCAGAATGGAAACGCTGCCCATTTCTCTGCTGTGATTAATTGCAGCATCTGTCCTGTCAGAAGCCCGAGTGAAGAGGTCTGCAGCAAAACTCCAAATAAGCGCTGGCAACAGTCTTAAAGTGCTTATGATGAAATGAAAATTAAAAACAGCAAGTGCCGCGCATGACCTGAATCTTAACGGGAGGGAGGATGGGGGAGGAGGGGGGAGGGGGGGGGGTGAAAGCGGGTGTCCATGGATACCAAACACATGCTTTAAAAACACACAGTAATGAGGCACTGGGAAATCGCCGTTATTATTCTGAACAGATTCACAGCAGAGCCCATTAATAATGCATGGAGCTCCTTGTTATTCCATAACCCCTCAGTACAGCGGTCACTGTGTGTACAAATATCTCACAGCCAGGGTTGGAGTTATGGGACTCTGCAATAAAAAGGTTACAGATATTTTCAAAACACTGTTATACACACATAGACATAATTTACAATGATAATACACTGCTGCTCATATTACAGGGACTGGTTTAATTTAAATGATAATAGAATAGTAATACTTGATTGTTCTGCAGAGTTTTTCAGTTTTGTTGCAAGGTAAATCTATTTTCAGAGTGCAATATGATATGGTCATAGAAGCATGAAGCAATCAATATCACCCATGCTGCTTTTCATCATTAACTAACGCTGATGAAATGCATGAAGGGCACTATGACATTAATATGTCATTTGAGAAATGCAATCATGAGGTGACCTAATTGTCCCCCTCCTCTTCCTCCTCCTCCTCCTCCTCTCCGTGCTGAGGTCAGTTGATCGGCACCGTGCCGACAATGACTAAGGAGTCAGATGTGGAAGCCGAGGGATTCTGTATTTTAATTATTTATTTGGCTCTTTTGTTGTTTTCCCGTTCATCGCACAAATACAATGTGAGCTTAACAAAAGGCCTGCTGACACTGACCATCTGACCATCAGACCCATGCTGCGGCCAATCATACAGGCCAGATTTTGGGAGGGCAGATGTGGGACCAGCCCGTCTTCAATGACCCACCCCCGCAAAAAAGATGGCTTTTTTTTGCGTATAAGACCCGGTCTGGGATGCACAAACAGCTGACCGCACAAGTCCAATGCCAAGCCCCCTTTTTTGTAGAGAGAGACTCAGCCTCCAGTCAAATGGCTGACTACGTTTAAGGAATTCTTGACCTTGCCATGGTGTGATATGCAGAGAGAACTATTGACCTCTGAGATGAATGGTGACCTGTGTTTGGGAGGCTGCAGGCTGCTCTGTTGACTGGCTGGACTGTCGACATCCTTGATCAATGGTAACGTTTGTTTGGAGAACTTTTGACCTGATGGACTAAAGTTGAGCCACAGATTATGCCTTCAAGCAAAGCTGATGGTATATTCAAGGAGGTGAAGAATAAACATTATGATACCCTTGCTGAACCTTTCAAACTTTTCTAAATTATACAAGTAAATGCTTTTATTATTGATTAGATTTGGAGTGTAGCACACTAGTTTTAACCCAAATTGAAAAGTGCTTATTTCTTTGAATTATCAGGAAAAACCTTCACAGTAAGAGCTGAAGCACAAATGATTACATGATGATTGCACTCTCTCCCTGTCCTCTTGTCTAAGTACATCTTAGATGCACACATAACATGCAAACACGCACATGCTCTGCACTCTATCCATCCAAGGATTTCTGAGCAATGATGTTGCCTTGGTGATTCACTGATCCTGCCATTAGCCTCATCCCTGCCTCATGTTCAGTTCTGTTAACTTTGCTTTAGCCGTCTTTTGACCTGTGGCAGCCTTTGCTTAAATACAAAATCACAACTCTGAATCCACCTTTCTTATTGTGGAGAGGGGAAAAAGACATTGTTGCAAGAAAAGGTGATCCAATTAGATATTTCAAAACCCTAGGGAAGTGTTGCAGATGTAAATCACTACAAATAAGAAAGCACTGGTGTCAAAGAAAAATAATTACAACAGCAATTTCCTTAAGTGTCCATTAGGGGCTGGCTTTAACTTTAACTTTATTTCACTGCTTTGACTGTACTAAAGCGGAGTGTTAGTATTAATATCTGAAGATGAGGATGCTGCTGAGAGAGCTGTGAACTGAGTGCTTGTCCATGGATTTCTTGGACTTTGAGACATTAGGGGATGAGCCAGGACCCCCCATCCCAGCCCACAAAAGAGAGGTCAAAGAAATAAATATATCAATAATGGCCATAGAAAGAATGTTTGACTTGAAATAAGGACCAATTCCTCATAGCACCTCAGGAGGTCAGCAGGAACAACACAGCAGCATTGCATTGTGGGAGAATCTGGACTAAATTATGTAGCTAAGATAAGGAATCCAGATATCACACAGGAGTTAGTGTCAAGAGAGTGAAACACATCGACTGGTTAAATGAGTTTGAAACCTGAAAACGTTTGGACAAAATGAAGACTAAGATGTAATTGTTATTATATACAGCTTAACTAAACTAAACTAAAACTAGACCAAAACTATTACAGGTAAAGATGGCTCAAATGTGACTAAAAAATAAGAGACATTTCGTTTAAAAGACTGAGACATATGCTGCGTTGCAGTTGTACTCGGAAATCAGGATTTCTGAGCTCCAAGTCGGAAATTCATCTGGAATGTCTCAGACAGTTGAACGATCCTCGCCAACCCCAACTTGACGACAACAGCATAATTCAGCACTTCTGTTTTGTTTTTGTGATATTAAGTGGTATAATGTCCCAATGTCTAACTGTGAACACGGTGCTACGGTGTTTGTAAGAGTAAAATACTGTGTTGTGCGTTGTTTAAAACTGGTATGACTAACAACAACTAACAACAGCTGACAACCACTAACAACAGCTGACAACGGCTAACTGTGAGCGTCAATGTTGGTTTTCCAACTTGTTAACTGGAACGCCATCAACTTGGGTGTAACGTCATTCCTAGCTCCCACGTCCGACTTCCAAGGTAACTGGAACGCAGCATTAGACCAAATCTGAAATAGATGCCAAAGTAAACACTGGTAAGCAGCATGGCTTGTTAGAGCCTGATATGTAACAATGACCCAAAATGTTATTAAAAAATGTAATAAAGCCTAAAATGTAATAAGTAGTCAAAAATGTAACAAAAGTGTTGAGTCTGAAATGTGATAAAAAGAAGTGTAACAAAACCCAAACTGTAATAACTGACCCAAAATAAAACGAGTTGCTACATTTTGGGCAAAAAGTTATGACTTTTAGGGCTCAGTGTTAAAATTACTACATTTCAGGTTTTATTACCTTTTTTTTTGTTAACATTTCGTATCATTGTTACATACTGGACTCTAACATGGCTGTGTCTCCATCATCACCTTTTTGTCAGTTTTGAGGCCAGTGGGTATTCTCATGGAGACTATGCTCATATTTAATGCAGTCTATCAAAAAAAAAAAAATCCTTGTTCTTATATGGATCAACATTAGCAGACCATAATTATTGGATCAATTTGGATGTGCAATTGCAGGATTCAACACTTCTCAACAAAGACAGGCCCCTCTGCAAATATTCAACATTAGAAAATAAAGTAATTGTGTCAAAACTCTTTGCCATATAATTTTAATGAGGAGCAAAAAAAAAAAGGCACAAAATAATTTGCACATCCAGACTCCTTGAATAAGATTCCCTGCAAATACCAGTGCCTTTTTTGATAAATTTGACTGTGTTCGGTGCTGTTGGGCTCAAGCTTGAATGAGAAAAGATAAGCGTCCACCATCACCCTGATGTCAACACCAGAAAGGTCACAAAATAAACATGAAAACCCAAAGAAAAACTGTTTATTTGAGGAAGTCATCAGCATAACAATAACATCAGTGTGTGTATGAGGAGCTGGTTTGTTTCAGATTAGTACGGCCCTCTCAGTATTTAGAGGACAAAATGCATCTGGAGCATTTATTCTCTGTTGAGTTATATAGTCACACACAAAAAAAAGCAGTGCAAGCTGTCAGTGATTTGAGAAAGCTTTACTTTATTGTGACAGATCATCATGCCCCAGAGGTTGACAGATGTCCCTGTGTCGTACGGAAATGATTGCAGTCTCTTTTTATTTGGACTTGTTTTGGTTTAAGAATGTAAAAATCCAGCCTGCTCTCCCCCCTCCACTGCTCCTATCCTTTTTTATTTCATCAGTGTTTTATAGGCTTTGTGTTCAGCAGAGGATCCCAACTCTAAAATTGCCTTTTATTGCAACTTACTTAGCCTGTTAATATAGGCTATTACTGAGCCAACACGTTTCTATAGCAACAAAACTGATAAAGTGTACCAGGAGACCGGAGTGATAGATTACACGTGCACACTGTGTCACATCCAATTAACTCAAAGCGACTGTACACCACGTTATGCCACGACTTGCAGGAAAATCAATAAATATGGACAGTACCCAACAAGGTTCCCCCTCTGTTTCTTTCTTTCATCCCTGACGACGACAGCCAAGCCAAGACAGATCATGCCACTAGGATGTCCCTGCTGCTACAAGAGGCAGGTGCTGTGTAGACACCATTCAAAACTTGGCCTATTCAGTCCAACTCCTCTAACGCTCCATTCATGCATAGCAAAACACCATCTGCTCCTGTTTTGCCCGGAGCAATCACAGCTGACCAAAAAAAAAAGAAGGAAAAAAAAAAAAAGAAATCCATGATAACAGCTGTTGCCAAACAAAAGCCAAACAAAAAGGGGGTAGGAAAAGGTTAGAAACAAGTTAGACACCAAAAATTAGTCACTGGAGAGGGTAAAGGAAAACATTTACTCATGGTAGTGGTCAGGAAACGGGGTGGCATCCAACAGGGAGGCAGGAAAGGGTTAAATGTAAGGTGTTGAGTCTGCAGGCCTGGCACACTAAAAACAGAAAAGGATCAGGTGATAATAGATTCAAGCTGAGGATGATTCTTTTACTCAGTTGGTTCTCAGGGTGAAGAGCAGAGGCAAATGAGCCATGGAGTCTGCTCACAGAGTACAGCTGCAATGATGTGCATGCAGAGGCAGGTATACACACAAACACACACAGTTAGTCCAGCTACATGATTTTTTTAATGCTGTACAAACCTGTTGTCTTTAAAGGTTATATACTCCGGATTACTGCAACAGACAACTATTTTTATGTTTTTGTACATCAAGTTTTGTCAGGGGTGAACGTAGGATAAGGTTCTTTTAGGTACTGTACCTGTAGGCTTTGTACAAGGAGCACACACAAATACAATAAGGACATAGTTTGAGGCCACATAAAGTTCCTCAAAAAATAGAGAACAATAAATCACATTTATAGTCATCTACAGGCTTCTGTTGCACAGTTTATTCAAGCATGCCATAAATTACAATACATTTATTTTAATTTATTGAGAAACACCTGTACCTAGATACAAATGAAAAGATTCATATGGCAACCTACTGTTGTTCTGATACAGGAACATTATCAGCCATTTGTCAGCAGCTTACCCTCTCCTGGTAGCTTTGCTGCTTCCCCCCTCTACTCCTCAACTTGCTCTGATGCCATAATATCATCATCTGCTGCATCTCTCTTTCTCTTGAACATAAAATCAAGTTTTCTCTGCGTTTTGTTTTATATCTGCATTAAGATTGAAGCAGCTGTCTCTTTAGAAGTTCCCTCCTTCCGCAAACGACGGAAGGCGAGCCCCAGCGCCTAGGCAACCAGCGTCCAATCAAAAGTGCGCAATGAGCGCTTCCACTTCCGGAATTTGTTTGTTTGCGGAAGCAAATACGACTCACTCGCAAGCAGCATGGTCCTATTGGATTACTACGGTTACAACGCAGAGTGCAGACTGACGTGCAGCAACACGGTAAGCTAATGTAGCCTACATACACTGCAGGGGTGAAAGTTTGCGTACTGCTGCGTACCGGCTGTAAACTGCTGTTTATGTCGTTCCGGTACCGCGGCGTACCCCCCCCCCCCCCATTAGTGGTGTACAAACAGTGTGTAATTAAAATAGAGTCAAAACCCCTCAAACAATTTTAATTGTTTATGATGTAGGAGAAATATTAGATTAGCTTAGAAGAACCAAATATGTTCCACAAAGTAATAGAACTATTCTCAAACACTCACGTGCATTAGTGGGTATGGAATATAACCAAAAAACTGTTTGTAGAAAAGATAACACAAATGTAGAAAAACAATATGTATTTAAAATAACTAGCTGAAGGCTTCAGTGAGGGATTTATCTATCTTTGCCTTTTTATGAGCTACAATGGCAGACTAGACCTCAAGTAACATGATTGTCTAAAACGTTTATAAAGATTGTTAGGGTTACTTTTTTTTCCCTTCCTGTACTCTGCAGATCTGATACAGAGAGCACATCTTCTGTCAATCACTTTTTAAAATGAACTCCTAAAAAACACTTGGACATAAATGTGCTTGATAAAAACTGTTTAGTAACACAAGCAATGTTAAAGAAATTTTATCTGATGTTTTAATTTTTTTTTTTTTTTAATATGTGACATTTTTCATCGGTTAGCATGGAGGATGCAGATTTTATTGCTTATACTGTGGCCAGTCAGTGAGGGGAGCTCTAATTATGTTGGACTCACAGTCTGTGAACAGCCTGGTCCAGAGCAACATGCAAACACTAACACAGAGTAAGAAAGACTTGGTTTATTATATTGCAAAATGACTGCTATAGCAATTTGTTCAGTAATAATAGAATGCCAGCTCAGTGCTAAAGTAAATCAGAGGTAGTCTTTCTGTCCAGATTTGACAAAAATCCTTGAATAACCTTTGACTAACAAGCTGGCCATTCTGTATTTGGTAAAAAAAAAAAAAAAAGGTAAAATACTGTCTGAATGCATAGGGATTGAAGTAAGTGACAGAAACATTTTGCCATTGCTTCAGTAAGGCTTGTAGCCCTGCTTTACACTGCATTGTGGAGTGATTGGCAGCGGTCCCTCGACCCTGTGAGGCCTCATTTGATCTAATGTATGGCCGCTGACCTGGGGGAGGGGCAGCAAGCGAAGGTGAAAGACTGAACAGCTTGCATGCCTCCAGACCTCAGCTGCCCATACAGACGGCGAGCTGTAAAACCACTGTTTGAGCCATATAGAAGTGTGACCGCTAGCTGTACACAAAGCTGACAGGGAGTCAAACGCACCTGATATACAACGCTGCCATGAAAGAGCAGTCTTAGAGGAAACAAAGTGAAAGAAGAGGACGAGGAGGGAGGGATCAGTAAATGATGATGATCTTACCTATTGTCCCCATGGGGGTAATTAAGTTGTATCTTATCATAACTTATGCTGACTATGAACAGACCTGGATATAATTACATTTTGGCATAATTTATTGCAGTAGAATAACTCTTTAACCTCACAGATGGTGCATTTTGCATCTTTAAAGCAACATTAATATATACAAGAAGTTCTGACACAACAATCTTTAAATCTTTGGTGTGATTTATATCTGAATATCCAGATCTGATGAAACTCCAGGAAGGAGGTAGATTGTAAAAGCTAGAGAGATGATTTGCAAATGTATTTTTTCCACCAATTTGACTATGAAACATGCAAATCTTCAGACTGGACTGTGATGCCGCAAGAGATTTAGACGGCAAGCTTTTAATTTATAAACAGCAGCGACTGTGGCAGTTGTTCAGTCAATTTGCTTAACAAATACTGAAAGTCGCCAACACATTTCCAAGTAGATGCACAGGACAACCTCTCTGTTTGTCACACCATTTGAAGCAATCCGAACACAAAGGAAACTAGAGTAAACATAAAAGAAGAGACTTTTTGGAGAAAGAGTGGACAGCTGCTCTTTAAGGTCACGTCCTGAGCTATGAACTTAACATGGCCGTGTGGATGCCTGGACAGTGTACAGTAGACTTGTAATGAAGAGGGGGTAGACAGAACAGAAGACAGGCTCCAGCCTCACGCCATTAGACGTGATTTGTCTGCCAAACCGATCCCAGTCCCTGTAGTTTTATCAGTTTAATGCCCAGGCAGCATTCATTATTTCTTTGCCGGGAGGGTCAGCCTCTCTTCAGCAGAACAAGTGTGGGTTGTGTTTCTGTCAAAGAGGGAGGGGGGGAGGTGGGGGGTTCAGTGCTTGACCTGCAAAGCCATTCAGCTCTCAGAGTGATCCATTGTTTGGGTCCTCTCTTTGTTCAGGGCCTGCAGAGAGAGAAGGGGCCAGCTAAAGGGGAGGGACGAAGCAGAGCCGGGGTCTCTCTGGGTGCCAGGGGTCCGCACTTATCCTCAACACAGACTCACCTTCAGTCAGTTTAGTCTTAAAAGGCCAAGAAAGCCACTTTGTTTATTATGTGCACTTGTGTTTTTGCACACACACAGAAACTGAAGACTCTGCTCTCAAGACTGACACTGTTGGTCGGAATTTTATTGACAGTTCAGTCGAGCTTCACCACATCAGCATAGACATACGGGTCAGCTATGTATTGTTTTTCTAATTGTGAGGCTATGTCAAGTGTACAGAATTTACTGAAAAGCAGGCTGGACCCACTGACATTAAAACTTTATTTAAAAAAATGCTTAAAGATAAGAAAGTCAAGAATATTAGATTCTTGTTTTGAGCACACTGACGAAATACAAGAGATCAAAAAGATCAGAACCTACTGTATGCCGGCCTCAGTATAAAAGAGACCCTAAGGGTTTCATCTAATATTTGATTCATGTACTCTACATAAGAATAGATCTTGTTTTCACTAAAGTACAGCCCTGGTAACTTGTAGTCTGATTATATGAAACCAGAAAAGAGAGAACTGCCCAAATCCTTAGGTTGATTTGTTCCCTCACCAAACACTGGCCTGATGAATTCATAATCCCAATTGCTAGAGTCAATTTATGATAATAAAAATGTAGTGTTCATTGTGCAATGTAAGGTCCCATTCAAAGTAGAACTGTTAATGACTTTGAGTATACTTAAAGGATACTGACAAGTCACTTACACAGGGATCTTTTAACCAGAATTGAGTCTCAACAATACCATCAAAGATTGGTCACCACTATTTCTGATAGATGATATCCTTGTGTCATATAGGTTTGCTAAAAGGAAAAGTTAGTCCACTCTGTCATCTCTTGTTTTTCTGTTACTCCCCCACATGCATTTCAATCCACCAGATATCATCAGCGTATAAACACATGCACAAAAGAAAAGATAAAAATGAAAACTAAAAAATTACGCTATTATGAAACTGGCTGTCCAACTGTCCATGTACTTAGAAATGGTAAATGTTGCTGTTATGATATTACCAGGGTAAAAAGTCAAGAAGTACTGAGCATCCCCCATGTGTCTGTGTGTCATGACCACATGACTGGATGTAAAGAATGGATGTAAAGGGAGTAAGAATAAGAGTCAGTCACATGGACATGTTTCAGATAGAGAACATTTGTGTGTTTAATGTTTCACCAAGTAAAGAGCTTATAAAGAAGAGCTTGTTGCTCCATCAGACAAGCTGAGTAGTAAGGGCAACAGCAGGAAACAGGAAACTTGTGACTTCTTTGTGATCAGACATATAATGTAACTTTAGTAAATGTATGAGGTGAATCATGATATAATGGGATAAAGAGTTCTATAAACTACAAACTAATAAAAAGGCAAATAAAAGAAAGAAACAGTAAATGATTTGTAACAAAGGCAGCCACGTGAGTTTGTTTTGGGTAGTTTAGTGATTTCAAAGATATAATGCCTAACATCCAGCCTCTTTATACTTCTGTTGACACCCCAGGTCTGCCTTAAGCTAAAGAAAACAGTGACAGCTGGTCCACTTTCAAGTGTTGCTACTGACCTTATCTGTATTTTTAAACCCTTAATATTCATTAAATAAATAAATAGATAAAAAAAAAAAACAGGTGATACATTCTCATTACCGTCAGCTTCATTTATGAGACTCAAGCTATTATTCACCTGTACAGCACTATTAAGCTACCCTCTTAGTTTAAGATTAAAACAAATAGTGGCAAAGTTAGATGAGAGCCCTTTGCACTACAGCCATACAGGTAGAAGATTCATTACAGGAGATAATAAGACAGGTAGGCATACTTTTTGCTATAATAACTGATGATAAAAATTCAAAATCTCAGTCAGGAGTTTAAAAAGTTTCCGTTTTTCAGCAAGACACCCACGAGCTAAACTTTTTCTGAAAACAGTGATTTTAAGCCTTTTCCTTTTTTTACATTTAAAGCAGAGTGATCTTAGACTCCACAGATTCCTTAATTATAGTCTTATAAATATATTCAGTAGAAATAGTTAAACTTTTAAGATAAAGTGTAATTTCTCTAACT